GAAAATCGGTGCGAAAGTGCCTCCTACTCAGATTGACGCCCTAACACGGGGCACCTCCTCTTCTCTTTGGTCTGTTCTAGAACACCCACACCTTCCCCTGGCTGTGCCTACTTCCCCCACCTATTCTGGTGGTCATCACCCTCATCACGATTTGAGGCTGAGCATTTGATATCTCTTCTTGGTGTGTGTGGAGGGGGTTAGGGTTCAGAAGTCCCCGGTTCCCTGAAGCTCCAAACTTAGCATTTCCTCTACGGTGCCTACAGTGTAGTGTCACCCTTGGCAGATACTAACTCTGTCTATACCCGTAGGCCCAGAGGGGCTAGTGACCGAAGTGGAGCACGGCGGTGTCCTGGGCAGCAGGAAGGGTGTGAATTTGCCCAACGCTGAGGTGGACCTGCCTGGGCTGTCTGAGCAAGATCTCTTGGATCTGCGCTTCGGGGTGGAGCACAATGTGGACATCATCTTTGCCTCCTTCGTACGAAAAGCCAGCGATGTGGCTGCGGTCCGGGGTGCCCTGGGGCCAGAAGGAAGGGGCATCAAAATTATCAGCAAAATCGAGAACCATGAAGGCGTGAAGAAGTGAGGCTTGGTCTTTGTTCCCATCAGTCCTCTATTTCCCATTGCCCCTCTTCTGCACGCCACTCCCCAGCATCTCCTGGCTCTGCTCTAGCCTGGGTTCCTCCAACCTCCCAGGTTTGATGAAATTCTAGAGGTGAGCGACGGCATCATGGTGGCACGGGGTGACCTGGGCATTGAGATCCCAGCCGAGAAGGTTTTCTTGGCTCAGAAGATGATGATTGGACGTTGCAACCTGGCCGGCAAGCCAGTCGTTTGTGCCACACAGGTACGGAGTGAACCCTTGGGCTGTACTTCGAAGGTGCTGAGCAACCTTGGATCTACATCCTGCTGCCTAGTGTCTGGTCACAGTGACGCAGATAGAGATGACATGAACTTTCCAGGGTCTCAGCGTGAACCTGGCATTCTAAGAGGGCAGGTGTCATAGAAACAGCGTGGGCAGGGTCCCCAATCAGAATGCGCCGTCTACAGCTTTGACATCCATGGTGTCACCCAGATGCTGGAGAGCATGGTCACTAGAGCTCGACCAACTCGGGCAGAGACAAGCGACGTGGCCAACGCTGTGCTTGACGGGGCCGACTGTATCATGTTGTCTGGAGAGACGGCCAAGGGCAGCTTCCCTGTGGAGGCTGTGAAGATGCAGCACGCGGTAGGGACTCAGTCCTGGAGAGTGGATGGGCCAGGGACTCAGACGCTCTGGGACCCCACTGACTCTCCCCAACCGGGTTCACTGGTGCCTATAGATTGCCCGAGAGGCAGAGGCGGCTGTGTACCACCGCCAGTTGTTCGAGGAGCTACGACGGGCGGCGCCACTGAGCCGTGACCCTACTGAGGTCACCGCTATTGGAGCTGTGGAGGCTTCCTTCAAGTGCTGTGCTGCAGCCATCATTGTCCTAACCACAACTGGCCGGTGAGAGACTTAGTGGAAACAGGGTTTCATCACAGAGTGGCTGACAGTGTGTGATAAAAAGTATTGCTTTGGGCCAAAAAAAGAGATGGCCCCGAATGCTAGAGACCAGGAAAGGCAGCTCTTGGGTGCCCCAGGGACTCAGCAGGTGATGATCTAAGCACGTGGACTTCAGGGCATTTGGGTTCCTGGGGCTGAGGGGGTTTCACAGTGCCCAGGTGTTGCTGAAGAGCCTGGTAAAGCTGAGGATTTTCTCTCAAACTTAGCAGTGAGACCATAAGTAACTCATTCGGGCCCCACAAGCCATCTGTCTCCCCGGGTCTATGTGAGTTTGCCATTTGTCCCCCCATGGTGTGTGAAGATTAACAAGGGACATTAAGTGTCATATGGAGGATGGGTATGATATAAATACTCATAGTCTAGACAGTTTACCCTCCTTTGTTGTTTGATAGGATTTTCCTGAAACAGGGTCTCATTAGTCCCAGCTAGTCTGAAACTTACTTAGCTAAAGTAGCCCTGAACTTACCCTTCAGCTTCCATCTCCAAGAGCTGGGATTATGGGCATGTGCCACCATGTCTTGCTGTCTGGTTTTACATTTCTATTTTTTTTAAAGATTTTTTTTTTTGGTTTTTCGAGACAGGGTTTCTCTGTGGCTTTGGAGGCTGTCCTGGAACTCGCTCTGTAGACCAGGCTGGACTCGAACTCACAGAGATCCGCCTGCCTCTGCCTCCCAAGTGCTGGGATTAAAGGCGTGCGCCACCAACGCCCGGCTTTTTAAAAGATTTTTTTTAAAAGATTGTTTTTAATTATATGTGTGCATGTGGGGGGGTCGTGTGCATTTGTGTACACAAGGCCAGAAGAGAGTGTTAAATCTTCTGAAGCTAGAGTTAGAGGCATTTGTAAGCTACTTGATGTGGATGCTGGGAACCAGCTCTGGTCCTCTGGGAGAGATGTAAGTGCTCTTACGGACTGAGCCATCTCTCTAGACTGGGCTTTACATTTATTTTACGTTGTTAAAATGTGGATGGACATTTTGCCTGCACGTATGTCCTCACCACTTGCATGTCTGGTGCAAGTGGAGGCAGAAGAGGGCATCAGAGCCCCCTGGAAACGGTCTTAACAAACAATTGTTAGCCACCATATGTATGCTGCAAACTGAACCCTGGTCCTCTTCAAAAGCAGCAAGTGCTTTTAAAGGCTGAGCCACCTCTGCAGTCATGGCAGGCACTCAATACTTAGCGAGAATGCCAAAGGCTAGAAAAATATAACTCACCTGGGCAACATGGCTATTAGCGATACCTGGGACCATCATTCACACTCTTGTTTCTCGAATCAACACTCTGATGTTCTAACCATCTCCCCTCATCCAGGTCAGCTCAGCTTCTGTCTCGGTACCGACCTCGGGCGGCTGTCATTGCTGTGACTCGCTCTGCCCAGGCTGCCCGACAGGTCCACCTGTCCCGGGGAGTCTTCCCCTTGCTCTACCGTGAGCCGCCAGAGGCCATCTGGGCAGATGATGTGGATCGAAGAGTTCAATTTGGCATTGAAAGTGGTGAGCCTTGGAGATGTTGTCCTTCTGCCCCCAGCCTGGCTTCTCTCCGTGACTCAAAGGTCACGCCTATCCTCATTGTCCTCACTAAGATGGACGAGTGTCTTGGACTCTAAGCGGGGAGGTCAAGTCGAGGGGGAGGAGAGCAGAAGTGTCCCTAAGAAGTCCGCTGCTGTCTCCAACAACATAGTGGGACGTAGGAGCAAGAAGAGGTGGGAGTAAACTTTAATTTATGGTCATCATGGGGACACCTGCCCTTGTCCATTACTGTAACTGCATGGGTGCAAAGGTTTAATGCTTAGGAAAGCACTCAGCATTGCTCCACACACCGACCCTCAGACCACCAGTTCACTTTCCTTCTCTTACAGGGCAGCCTTGAGGTGGGTGGATGGTGACGGCTGACCTGGGTTCTTCACTGACTGTCACCTTTTTCTCCCCCAGGAAAGCTCCGGGGCTTCCTGCGTGGCGGTGACCTGGTGATTGTGGTGACGGGCTGGCGACCTGGTTCTGGCTATACCAACATTATGCGGGTGCTGAGCGTACCCTGAAATGCCTCTCCCCGTCCTGACCTAGTTACCCGCAACCTTCCCACACCCCCACTGCCATCTAGCTCATCCCTGTGCCACACACAGGCCCCGAATGTCTGTCCAGCCGTGCCCTGGCCAGCCAGCAGCATCAGTCGTATATCCCTGTCTCAATCCGCTCAGCTGGATTCTAAGACGCCCTGAGCCTTTAATCCCAGCCCAGCTGGGTAATTCCGTTCCTCTGGGTTCCCTATCATTAGAATGGGGGAGGTGGAAATGGAGTAATCTCGTCCAATTTCCATAGTACCATTATTTTAAAACACTTCTGTCCTCTGATGTGACCCTCATGACCATTTCCTGAGCAAAGTGCCATCTACTGAGGGCCTCAAGGCATGGAGCAGTGGAAGCCACGCTTTAGGGGAGGCTGGGGCAAACTGAGCCAGGCTGTCTGCCCACCGCCCCCTCACATACAAGGTCTCACTGTATAACTCAGCCTGGCCTCAAATTCATAGAAACCCTCCTGTTCGACCCTCCCAAAGAGTAGGGATTACAGGCATGAACCAACACACTGGACTTCAGGCAGCCTTACTTTCTTACTGACTCTACAATCTTGGAGCTGAGTTTACAAACCACTAATCTGACTGTTCTTGTGTCCACGAGCCAAATGATCCAGAAATTCTTTCACAGCCACCCCCCCCCATAGATCAGAGGCAAAAAAAAAAATCTTTTTTTTTTTTTTTGGTTTTTATGAGACAGGGTTTATCTGTATTGTTTTGGAGGCTTTCAGTCCAACCTGGCCTCGAACTCACAGAGATCCGCCTGCCTCTGCCTCCCGAGTGAAAAAGTCTTTTTTTTAAACCCAAATTGTTTAGGTGCAATTATAAAAATAACTTCCACAGCCGGGCGTTGGTGGCGCACGCCTTTAATCCCAGCACTCGGGAGGCAGAGGCAGGTGGATCTCTGTGAGTTCGAGGCCAGCCTGGTCTACAAAGCAAGTTCCAGGACAGCCTCCAAGACAATACAGAGAAACCCGGTCTCGAAAAACCAAAAAAAAAAAAAAAAAAAAAAAAACACTTCCACAGGCCAGGAATCCCAGAATTCCTGGACCCAGGAGAAAAGGAGACGTGTGGTTCTGCCCTCAGCTCCAATGCTATCGTGTAGGGAACTGAGGAATCAGGGGTGCTGCTGGCCTGCCCTTGCTAGGTTTGGAGACCCCAGGCACGCCTCTTCTGAACCAACAGCAAGCCCTGCTGAGGGGACAAGAAACAAGTGCAGCCCTCCCCTCAACCTGTCACCCCCTCTCCACTACCTCACTACGTGTCTGAGGACTGTTGCTGATGGCATTGTGCAAGGACCACAGAGATGTCCTTCTGTCTCTCAGCTTCCCTACCAGGAGGAGGGGGGACAGATGAAGGAATGAGTAACAAAATGAATTAAGTCCAATTAGCAAATGAATAAATAAAATTAATAAATGACTGAATAAATAAGACAGAGGGAAAGATAAAGGTCACATGAGGATCCAGCCCCGTGCCCCCCTCCAGGGGGGAGTTAGGCTGGCACAGTTGCTAAAGGGATGCCAAGTATCCCTTAGCTTTAAGGGGAGTGCCGCTGAGGCAGGGAGCACAGTGAAGAGCAGTTTCTAGTTTACAAAGGCAGAGCTACCACACGGGAGCCGTGGAGGGCACGCTACAGTGGGCAGACGTGTTCTCAGTGTAGGCGAGGACGGCCCACAGGCGGTGGTACTCAGGACCTAGACACGTGTTGGTTGTAATAGATAATTGACAGTATCCAGCTATGAAGATAAGACACAGTGGGCAGAACCTGCAGGGTCACTGACAGGGAGACAGCTATCTAGTCGGCAGTGATGGTGGCAGCAAGAACATTTGTGTTTAGTAAAGGCAGGGTTGTGGGCCCGTGCCTGCACCTGGCAGGATGGAGGCCGGGGGATTCCCTTGTGAGCGGGCTTTGAGTCACTTCTACTTGGCAGTGGAGAAACACAGTACCCAGAACAAAGCCTTGAACATGGTAGGCACTGGGTACCTATGAGAGATGGGACATGATTAGGATGAAGAGACTGCAGCTGCTTGAGTTGAGGCTGCAGAACAGCTTCATGGTAATAAAGGGCAGTATGTTAGATCCTGTCAGCCTTCCCCAAGTGCCTCCCCCCCGCAGGCACGTATTACCTACCACATGCCAATAGCTAAGGCCAGTGCAACCTAGGATTTCACATGTTGGCAGAAATTTGGGGACCTCTGAGGGTAACTGGCTCAGGCACTGATGGCCTGGGCGACTGGACTGTCCCTGGAGGTTTGGCCAGGAGCCCAGAGGTGGGCAGGCGCTCACTTCCAGAGCCCTTGCGCCCGGGAGAGCCATCACCTGTTGCTCGCTGAGGCAGAGAAGGTTGAGAGGCAGAGAGTGGGCGGCCACGAGGTCCTAGCCTCCTACCACCTCCTCCTGGGGGAGGGCCCAGCAGGGACACCTGGGAACGCCCTGCCCGGGATAGGCTGGCATGGAGGGTTCGGGCCGGTGGAGCAGGCAGGCGAGACGTGGACGCCCAGGGTCCTCGGGCCAGCAGAGGACCCGCTCGGACAGGCACCAGTGGGGAGGCTGGGGAGCCTGCTGAGCGTCTAGCAGATCGAGCAAGGAGGGCCACTGGAGAGTCCGGGGAGAGGGGCAGAGGGCCTCGCTGGTGAGTCAGGGCTATGGCCACGTTGGAAGTCACAGCAGCTGCCTGCAGAGGCGCATGCACCAGTGGTTCCCACAGCACTGGCTTTCCACTGAGTCGAGCTCCTGTGCCAGGAGCCAGGCCCCTAATACCACGAGCCATGTCTCTGTCGTGCTGTACCAAATGCTGCTCCATGACACCACCGCTGCTGCCTGGACTTGGCTCAGAGCGTTTCCGCTGCAATATCGAATTCTTTTTGCCTACAAGTTGTCCCAGGACCAAGAAGTTAGGAAAGGAAAGGACTCTAAGATGGAGGTTGGAAAGCAGAGTGTAGGCTGAGGAGTAGGGGGTGGGGAGTCAGAAGTAGATAGAGAAGAGGCTGGAAAATGGCATCAGTCAAACAGCTGAGGCTAAGGACTGGTGCTCGGGAGGACTTGGGGAAGCAAGGTCTGGGGAGACGTATCCGTGGCTATGGCTTGCTAGAGGTAAGAATAATAACAGCACTGAAACCCGCTGGAGGCATGGGCTGGGGTATAGTGCCAAAGCTCTAGAGCTGGGCTCCTTGCTAAGGAAACGAGGAGAGACCCAGCCCAGACCCAGAGCAGACAGAGTAAAGAGGCCTCACCGATGCGGCGAAGCCGGTCCATGGCCACAGTCTCAAAAGCCCGGCGCATCATTGGGAACTCCTCAAGCACCGCATTGAAGTGGTCCACGCTGAGTGAGTACAGGCGGCAATAGGTGTCAGCCCTTACACTGGCCGTTCTGCGGCCCCGGGTCAGTAGGCAGATCTCTGCAAAAGTTAGGAAGACCTCAGGACCCCTGTCCCCAGAGCTCCCTCCCACTAGGCCTGCAGCAGCTAACCCAGCACTCTCAGATTGGTCCCTAGACTTGGGAGAAAGTAATGATTACCTGGTGTAAGGTCCCTAACTGCTCCAAGCACTGTCTCCAGACCTGCACATCTGGAAGGCTGCTCCCTGACTTTTTCATTCTCTCCAAACTAAGGCAGCAAGCAGGTCTGCGAGCCCCAGATGCTCTATTCCACATTAACTCCAATCCCAGCCCCGTCTCAGGGCATCCCCTACCCTCCTGCCCTGAGTAAAGACCTGGAGGAGAAAAACAGGCTGGACAGACACAAAGCACAGCTGAGGGGGCTTGAAGGTGGCGGCTGGCTAGGCGGCTGGCAGGTCGCATGAGCCTCAAGACACTGGGTGTCAGTCGGGGCTGTGTCCCTGGAAGCTCCACCAAGCTTAAGTCTGTTTCATTCCTAGCTTTCCCTCAACTCACACGATCCTTGCATTTTGGTAGTTAATAATCCTACAGGGCTGTTGGCCCAGTAGCTTGCAGCCTGGCCATGCACTGGACTCCCCTGAGAGAAAAATGAAATACAAAAGCACCTGCCAGGTGAGGTGGTGCATACCTTTAATCCCAGCATTTGGGAGGCAGGGCAGGAGGACCTCTGTAAGAATGAGGCCAGTTTGGTCTACATATCAAGTTCCAGGACAGCTAGGGCTACATAATAGAGAGACCTGGCAATCCATCCATCCATCCATCCAAATAGAACAGAGAGCCTCAGGCCCCAGCTCAGACTCGCTGAGAAGGCCTGGGGAAGGGCTGCTCTGTGACTCTGCAGCACAAACAGGTGAGGCCCTGATCCTAGGGGCAACTGCATGCTGTCCAATGCTCATGACCCCCCACCTTCCCCAAAGCCCGCTGACCCCCAAAGTAGGATCCATCAGTGAGGCGAGTGTCCCGGGCGCCCCGTGCCAGCACACTGAGCAGCCCGTGCTGGATGAAGTACATCTTCCTGCCCACGGAGCCCTCACGCACCACCAGGTCCCCCGGCTGGAAGACCTCAAAGCGGAGCTTGGTGAGCACTGCAGTGACGAAGCTGGGGTCAGCGTGGGCAAACAGCGGCATGTGGGCCACCAGGCCCCGGCAGGTGAAGTTAATAATCTCCTGGACACGGGAGGGGCCTATCAGGCAGGCTTCGCCCCCTGCCGGAAGATGCCCCCACCAAGCTCATCTGTCTCCAGGAACCCCATCCATCCTGTCAAGATCGGCCAATGGGCGGGGAGGCTACGGCAGGAATGAGGACCTCCCTGAGAACCTGCCTTCACTGCAGTCCCTCTTCATACGGCCTTCACTGCCGTAAGGCCTTCCACAGAAAGCCACCGCCCCTCAAATACTCGGCCTCCCGCAGGGCCATCTGTAGACCTCAGGTCCTACAGGAACTCATGATAAGCACCCCCTTGCAACCCAGGCACCTCCGAAGCCCAGGTCCCTGAAGAGCCCTTCCCACAAGGTCCAGCCTGGCCCCACCTCCCGAAGCGGCTCGCTCAGCTCCCCCAGGATGCTCTCTTCATCGAACATCTTGCCTTGGTAGCGGTGCTCGTAGTACTCATGGATGCGCTGCCGGGTGTCAGGCGGCAGCTTGTGGAAGGACATGTACTGCTCCACCTGCTTGTACTGAAGAGGCAACACCAGTCGCCGGGGGAAGAGGACACGGAAACGTACAGAAAGTCACAGACACAAGTCTGGCCCAGAGGTGATAAACAAGGTATACGCACGTAGGTGTCCACAGAGCCACGGAGGACACAGGGATGATGGCAGGGAAGACACAGCAGGTGCAGAAAACCCCAGTGTGGACAGAGGCACGGGGACAGACACAGAAGGGTTTCACACAGGAGTATGGGACAGATGGACACGAGGTAGGAAAGGACAAAGGGCCCCACCAGGACACACTCTCTATCACTTCTCCACACCCCACCCCTCCCCGCTCTTGTCCCTACTGACCTTTTCCTGGTACTGTCGCCGGGAAGAGTCCAGGGACTGGATGAGTGCGGTGGCGTGACCGATGAACATGGCGTAGCAGGTGGCCCCCACAATCATGCTGAGCATGGTGAGCCAGACGTCAGGCATGCCCACGGGTGCCTGCTGCCCATAGCCAATGCACAGCATGTGACTCATGGCCTTGAACAGGGCATGAGAATACTGGCGGCCCCACGAGTAGTTCTGGGGGACAGAGTATGTTGCAGAACAGGGCATAGGCCCCTTAGAGTTTCATTCTCCACTGGCCCCCTTTTCTCCCTTGCCTACCTCTTTCTACTTCAGCCCTTCCTCTCAGCCGTCACTTGCTTAGCGTGGAGTTCCCAAAGTAAAAGGGGCCTCTTCTGTGCCTCTTTGTTTCTGTCTGGGTTTCCTTCTCGGCCTGTTCCTTCCGACATACAAGCACTTCCTCTTTCTAGGTTTCCTCCCCCAGTCCTATCTCCCCCTGTCAACTCCCTGAATCATCTCCCACCTCCTGCTCCCTGTGGTTACTCCCGTCGTTCAGGCAGAAGAGCCCTTAAGAGACCCAGGAGTACCAGAGCTGGGGGGCTTCTCACCACCATGCGGTTCATGGAGACCCAGCAGTCGGAAGGGAAGTCCTGGAGCATAGGGACCAGGAACTGCAGACAACCATCCCAGTGACACAGCAACAGCATCATCCCAATGAGGTTGAAGATTCGAACCACCGCACTGGCCAGGTCATAGGTCATGTGAAAGATCTGAGGAGTCCAAGCAAGCACTGCTGTGTTTAGGAGCCCCCTTTGCATGGGTGCCGGCCCTGCCGATCCCCCTTGAACCTTGTCTCCCTTTCTCAGTCTCTCTGAATTAATTTTTAAAAAAGTAGCTATTAACCTGTCCTGGTTTCAAGTGCATGGAACTCCTGTTGCTAGGGGAACTGAGGCAGGAGGAGCAGAAGTTTAAGGCCAGCCTAGGAAACTTTTTTTCTTTCAAATTTTAAAAAACTTTAAGCAAGGTATAGTGGTGGCACACTCCTTTAATCCCAGCACTTGGGAGGTAGAAGCAGGTGGATCTCTGAGTTCGAGACCAGCCTGGTCTACAGAATGAGTCCAGGATAGCCAGGGCTACATTGTCTCAAAAAAGTTTATGTATGTGGTGGGTGTTTTGTCTACTTACATGTCTGTGTATGGTATGCCTGCCTGGTGCCCTTGAAGATCAGAGGGTGTGTGACCCCCTGGAACCAGAGTTACAGACAGTTGAGAGCCAGCATGTAAGAGGAAACTGAAATGAAATTGAACCTGGGTACCCTGGAAGAACAATAATGCTCTTAACTGCTGAGCCATCTCTCCAGCCCCCAGCCTGGGGAACTTAGTAAGATCCTATCTCAAAATAAAAGTAAGGGCTGGAGAGATGACTCAACAGTTAAGAGCACTGGTTGTGCTGGGCGTTGGTGGCGCACGCCTTCAATCCCAGCACTCGGGAGGCAGAGGCAGGCGGATCTCTGTGAGTTCGAGGACAGCCTGGTCTACAGAGGGAGTTCCAAGACAGCCTCCAAAGCAATACAGAGAAACCCTGTCTCAAAAAAAAAAAAAAAAAAAAAGCACTGGTTGCTCTTCCAGAGGACCCTGAGTTTGATTCCCAGCCCCCACATGGTGGCTCACAATTCCAGTCTAACTCCACAGGCACCAGGCACATATATTATACAGAGACATATGTATAAATAACAAATAATCCTAAAACAAATAAATAAAAAGTAAAAGGGGACTGGGGATATGACCCAGGGGCAAAGCACTTGCCTAGCATATGTGAGGGCCTAGGTCCAATCGGCAGTAAGGCATGGAGGTATGAGGGGCCATTATTTATTTGTATAGGACCTTATGACACATGGTTGCTATTGTCATCTTTTCTGCAGAGAGACTGAAGCCAACTCTGTGCCTAGAACTAAACAGTGTCGAGGCTGAGATTCAGAGACCTAGATTGCACAAGCAGCCCTGCTATAGGCTGGAAAACAGGAAAGTGCATTCACAGTGTAACGTCTTTAGGACAAGGGTTAACACCAGCATCCCTCTTCCAATAGCATTAAAGATAACAGATACTTTCTGGTGGTAGTTCACCCAGGAATTAAGGCAGGAGGACTGTCAGAAGACCAACGCGAGCCTGGGCTCTAGTATGAGAGCCTGTCTCAGAAAGTTGAAACTAAAACAAAACAAAACAAAACAAAACAAAACAAAACAAAAAGCCAGCTACCTCCTGGGAATGCACTATGCGCGGATGAGTTTCTCAGGGGTCACACATATTAGCTCTAACCAAATTATAAGCAAATATACCAACCAAGGGCAGTCCATCTGGTACTGTCCCCTTAGCAAGAGACAATGAGATGGCACAGTCACACTGAGCCTCTGAACTCTGTTGCCTGAAGAGGCACCTTCTTTCCATACTAAATCCTCTCAAGTGTTTGCTCTGTGCTGGGTACGCTAAGACGCTCCACCTCTCTGAATGCCCACCCTCACCTAGACCTCCTCCGTGAACCCTCCTCCTTCTGCCCCGGCTTCTCCCCTACCAACTTTGCAAAGACTTCACCCATATTCCCCACCCCATAAAGTCACCAGTTATCAGACTCCACCCATAGCACCCCCCAGCCCACCTCCCCACCCCACCTCCTCCCATTGGTGTATGTAGCGGATGAGGCGGGAGAGGCGGAGCAGTCGCAGCAGGCTAAGGATCTTGGTGAATCTGACGATGCGCAGGGCCCGAGCTGTTTTGTAGACCTCCGCATCTAGCCGTGGCTCCAACTCCACTACTAGGAAGATGTAATCCACAGGAATGGAGGAGATCAGGTCAACCAGGAACCAGGTGCGTAGGTAACGTGTGCGAATGGCCCTTGGCGCCAGCAGGATCTCAGCACCTTCCTCCACCACGATGCCAGTTCGGAAGTTGAGCACCAGATCCAGCAGGAAGAAAGTGTCAGAGAGGACATTGAAGACGATCCAAGGTGGGGAGTTCTCCTCCTTGAAGAAAGTGATGCCCACAGGCAATACTATGAGGTTCCCCACCATCAGCAGCAGCATGATCAGATCCCAGTAAAACCTAAAGTAGGTACAGGATGGAGAGCAAGATCCTGTCATACTCTGTCAGCGGCTAGATTAACAAATCGTCTGATACAGCTAAGAGTGGTCAAGAGGGTCTGGAGAGATGACTCAGAGGTTAAGAGGACCGGCTGCTCTTCCAGAGGCCCTGAGTTCAATTCCCAGCACCCACATGGTGGCTCACAACCATCTGTAATGAGATCTAGTGCCCTCTTCTGATGTGCAGACATACATGCAGACAGAATACGGTGTACATAATAAATAAATCTTAGAATACAAAATCACAAAATGGTCACTTAAATCCACTAAGAGTGGAAACTGGAATCATTTGGGTGATTTAGAAGAGTTAATATCTGTACTCCCTACAACTCTGTTCCCTTGTATATAAGCACCCAATGGGAACATGCTTTCTAGGAAATATAACCAGTAATGTCTATAGCAGGATTAAATTGGGAACGACTCAGACGTCTACCAGTAGAAAGTGGAGTGGACAAGAGAAATAGTTCAGCAGGTAAGAACACTGGTTGCTCTTGCTGAGGACCTGAGTTCAATTCCCAGCACCCACTTGGCAGCTCACAACCATGTGTAACTCCAGTTCCAGGGGATTCCATGCTGTCTTCCAGCTCTCAGGGCACCAGGAAAACAGAGGGTACACAAAAATACATACAGTGAAACAAACACATATAGAAAAAATAAATAAAAATTAAAAAAATAATACGTGTAGGTAAATAAGGCATCATACAGAGGTAAATACCCACTGCCTGGAATGCTGTACAGCAGCATAAATGGGTCTCATATTTGGAAAAAAAAAGGAGAAAGAGAGATTTATCTTTAGTGTGTGTGTGTGTGTGCTGCCCTCACATATGTAAGTACACCATGGGTGTGCAGGGCTCACAGAAGTCAGAAGACAGCATCATGTCCCTGGGAACTACAGTTACACAAAGTTGTGAGCCACCACGTGGTGCTGGGAACCAAACCTAGATCCTCTACAAGAGTAGCCAGTACTTTTTAAAAAGATAATTAATTTTTTTTTCTTGAAAAGAGATTTTTTTTTTGTACAACATTCTGATCGTGGGTTCCCCTTCCTCAACTCCTCCCAGGCCCCTCTTCTCCTCCTCACCCACCCAAATCCATACCTTTCCTTCTCTCACTCATTAGAAAACAACTTCAAAAAATCAGAATAGGACAAAACAAGCAAGCAGGAAAAAAGGGCCAAAGAAAAAGTACAAGAAATACATACACACATGTGAAATACACTCACACACCAAACACCCATAAAAAACAAAATCAGAAACCACAATATATAAGCAAAAGATCTGTGAGGTTAAAAAGAATGCCAGGACAAAGCATTATGAGACAAAACCCCTCCAAAAATACCACTGAATTGTTTTTGTGGTGTTTATCTACTGCCCTTAAGGGTTATAAACCCAGTGAGACACTGGAGAACATGCTTCCTCTCTGAGAGGTTATTAAGTGGAGATGGCTTCTGGGTTAGGGATGGGTTCTTGAGTCCACTTCCCCTATTAATTCTGGGCCCCCATCTGGCTAGACCTGTGCAGGCCTCAAGCACGCTGCCAGTCTTGGTGAGTTCACGGGTAAGCACTCCCTGCAGGGTCTGGAGGGCCTTGCGGCCTGGTGTCCTCCAGCCCCACCGGCTCTATACTCTTTCCGCCTCTCTTGCACAGTTCCCTGAGTCCTAAGGGAAGGACTGAGTATTCCAGGGCTCTCGCTCTCTACATTGTCCAAGTGATGTTCTCTGTTCCCACACACTACAGGAGACAGCTTTTCTGATGGTGGCTGATCAAGATAATGGTCAAAGAATGCAGTGGTTTGAATAAGAAGGGTTCCCCTAGCTTCATTACTAGGGAGTAGGACTGCTAGAAAGGATTAGAAAGATAAGGAGGTGTGGCTTTGTTGCAGTAGGTGTGGCCCTGTTGAAGGAAGTGTGTCGCTGGAGGTGGGCTTTGAGGTCTCAAAAGCCCGTGGCAGGCCCAGCTTCTCCTTTTGGGTCTCAACCTGTGAATCAGGATGTAGCTCTCAGATACTGCTCCAGCATGGCACTCACTGCTGTGACATAATGGTCTAAGCCTTTGAAACTGTAAGCAAGCCCCCAATTAAATGTTTCTTTTATAAGAGTTTCCTTGGTCAAGGTGTCTCTTCACAGCCATGCAACAGTAACTAAGAGAATGAGTATAGCTGGGTGTTGTTAAGAATCATTTTATTGCCAGGCACATCAGCAATGGAGAAGGCAGGTCTCCATTGTGGAACAGAGGGCTTGTAGCAGGGTTGGTATTTACATTTCTCATATGGTAACACGCAAGAGTACCTTTCAGTACCGTGAACACTAGTCAGGAGGAGTGAGCAGCCAGAGCTCTTAACCACCCAGCCATCTCTCCAGCCCTCGACTCCCTCACTTTTGAAATTGAGCAAAAGAAGCAAGAGACAGAGGGTACAAATTAGATGATTCCTTGTATACAAAGCTCCGAAGCGGACAAAACTAAACTCGTATATATTGGTTTGGGAGTCAGAGAAAAGTAGTGAAACTATTTTTTATTTTTATTTATTTATTTATTTTGGTGTTTTCGAGACAGGGTTTCTCTGTGGCTTTGGAGGCTGTCCTGGAACTAGCTCTTGTAGACCAGGCTGGTCTCGAACTCACAGAGATCCGCCTGCCTCTGCCTCCCAAGTGCTGAGATTAAAGGCATGCGCCACCAACGCCCAGCTGAAACTATTTTTAAAGTCTTTTTATTTTACTGATAAGTTTTTTAGTGCGTCTGTGTGTGCATGTGGAGGTCAGGGGACAGGTTTGTGAAGTCCATTCTCATCTCTGGGAGTTGGATTCAGATGTCCAGGGCTGTGCAGCAAGCATCTTTACTGCTCTGTCTTACTGCCTTTCTATTTTATGGTAAAATTATTTCTATTGTGTAATACTATTTCCTTTATAAGTTAGAATCAAAAGACAAAAACAATGGTCCAAATGATCAAGTAGGCAGATTATGAAAATCCCCAAAGCTCCCAAATAGAGAAAGGGGGGAAAAACACAAGAAAATCCAAGTTCACATATGAAGGTTAGAGGACAACTTGTAGAAATTAGCACTCCCCTTCCACCATGCAGGTCCCTGGAACTGTACTTAGGCTGTCAATCTTGTTGGCATGTGCAGTACCACAAAAATTAGAATACAGGAATAAAGGTGTAATTCAGTGGTAAACTGTATCCTTAGCATATTTGAGGATCTAGTTTCAATTCCCAGAATATTTCATTCACCTATGAAAAGTGAGAATAGTGGATTTGAGATAAGAAGGTGAGATTATATAGTGGGACTTATGCTGTACTGTGGATATGTACAACCTCTTAAGATGATAGTTGTGACATGAGTTTGCTTTATGGCACTCACATATATGAGTATCTTCACCTCTGTAAACTGCCAGGCTTGGTTAGACAAACCTGTCTATAGTCCAAGGCAGGAGATCACAAGTTCAAGGTTTATTTGGAATACAGAGAAAACTGAAGGCCAATTTAGGCAACTTAATGAGACTCTATATCAAAATAAAAAGAAACCAGCAAGATGACTCAGAAGATAAAGGAACTTGTTGTCAAGTTTGACAACCTGAGTTCAATCCCTCAAACCCACATAGGGAAATGAGAATGCGCGCGCGCGCGCGCACACACACACACACACACACACACACTCTCTCTCTCTCTAAATAAATAAATAAATAAATAAATAAATGTTTTTTAAAAGTTTAAAAGTGAGCTCGGATGAATGTTGTCATTAAAAAAATTAACTATCTTCCAGGAGAGCCTCCAAAACAATACAGAGAAACCCTGTCTCGAAAAACCAAAAAAAAAAAAAAATTAACTATCATGCATGATGTTTTAGGTTAAATCCCACATACTCCTAACCAAAACAACAATACCAGAAAACTATGCCAGCTGGTTGGCACACTGTCTACTGTGCAAACACGAGGAACTGAGTTTGATCCCTGGCATAAACATAAAAAGAAGGTGCAGTGTGCATCTATAACCCAGTGTTGAGGGGACAGGTGGGTCCCCGGAACTCCCTGGCTGGCCAGACAACCTGACTGAGTCTATGTTCTGTGAGAGACATTCTCAAGGAGAAAAATAAAATAGTGAAGAACCATTGAGGGAGAAACCCAATGCTGTCACCTACACATGCACACAAAAACACATCACACAAGTTGCAGAACTGGCTCAGTGGTTAAAGGCATTTAATGCCCTTGCCGAAGTCCCAGGTTCAGTTCCCAGAGCCCTTGTGGTAATTCACAATCACCTGTAATTCTAATTCCAGGAGATCTTCCCTCCTTCTTCTGACAGCCTCAGCCACCGACTTCACATGACACAGACACATATGCAGGCAAAACACTCGTACACATGAAATAAATCTAAATTTTTTCAAAAAGTAAACATGCACACAGCCGCACCCCCCATCCAGATACATATATCACACACAATGCACCAATATTGGTTGTAAACTTTTTAAAACTAAGCACCCTCAGCCGATCTCACTGGGCTGTTGGGTGATTTTTCAGAGACAATGGACATGACAATGCTGTATGAACAGCAGCTGTTATTATGGTTCATCCACTCTTTATATCCAGATGTCTAAGGATGGCGGCTGCCTCTCCCTTCTCCAGCTCTGTCTATTTCCAGTCTGAGCTGTCCTGCCCTCCACTGTCTTCCCCACGCCACCCCCTCCCCAGCACAGCTAGCACCGGGTCTGTCTCTCTGTGGATGGGGAACTGCCGCCGGTGGCCAGCGGGGACTGGGCAATCCTGCACTCGTCTAAACTGGGCTTTTCAGGGACTCCCATCCCCTCCACAGCACTCAGATGGCTGTGCTCCAAGAGGATTTTCCAGGAGATTCCAAGGCAGGGTGGCTTGAGATGTGCACTCCTCCCTCGTCTAGGCTGCCTGCGCATGCTGGGACTCTGACTGAGACAGACAAGGGCAAGCTACATTGCTTCAGAAGAGGCTGTGTAGATAGGAAGTCAGGAGGGAAAAACATCACTGGAGCACTCATGATGGTTTCAGGTCGAGGACACATCTAATCCCAGCACAAGTCCCACACAGTCCCTTTAGATTCTGATTGCAAATCCTTCCAATCCCTGGAAGAGCTCGGTGGTTTCCCAAGTCTGGCCCAGCCCTGGAAGCCCCTCATGCTTAGTGCTTCCACTCAGTAGCAAACCCTTGATGTTTATTCCTCTCTTTCCACAGCTGCTGAGGAGAAATCTTGCATTGTGAGACACTGGCAGAGAGGAGGCAAAGGTCTGCCTTGCTCTCACAGCATCTTCACAGCCTGACTCACAGGCAGTCACAAGCCCAGCGGGTGATGCCGTAGAGGATGGGAAGCAGCTATGAGGGGGTACGGCTCCTGGGGATGTGTCTGAGGGTGATCGGGGTGGAGGAGGAAATCTGCCGCGGTGCAGGACAGTGAGAAAGTGGAAAGGACAGTGAGAACTGGAGGGGTGTTTACAGGGAGTGGATATCCGAGGATGGACGACACTGTCTGGGGTCTCCAATTGTGTTCCCGGGCTCCAGGGGCACACCCCATTTCTTCATCTAAAACCTGTCCTTCAGCGTCCCCAAGGACAGGGCGGCCTTTCTCCCCTAGCGACCTTGATGTAGACTACAGCCTGAAGGGGACTGTGAAATGGCTACACCCCCCACTCTCTGTCCCTTTTTCTATGGGAAACGCCTGGGCGGAGGCCGAGCCCCTGCTCTGAGTACCGGCCCCGCCCCGCCCCATCCCGCCTTCAGCACCACGGACAGCAAACAGCGCGGCGGGCCGGACTGACCCCGGTCACTCTCCAGCATTCGTTCCCAGCTTCCCTTTGTAGCTCAGTGTCCCTAATGTGTTCTGCTGAACGCGGCAAGTGCCTGGTGTGTGGGTAAAGCGTGGTAGAGACCGGAGCTGGGCTTCTCCCGCAGGTCTCCCGGCTTTGGGTATGATAAAATTCCCCACACCTCCAGAAAACAGTCCTGGAGGAGGCAAGGTTTCCAAACTCCTACAGTCTCTGTGGTCCAGGTGGGTTCCTGCACCGGGAAAACCAAAGTCCCTGGAGATTCTCTGATGTCTCCCTAACCGGACTAAACACAGAGGACCCCGGGGTAACCCGCCTAGGAATTCCCAGGCTGGGTCGGAGGAGGTGACTCTGCAGCCCCACCCGGCCGGTAGCACTGGTGTCCCTCGCCCTCCCCGCGGAGCCCCCCGTACCGGAAGTCGCTGTAGGGGTGGATGATCCAGGCCCCGGCGGACTTCACCCTCTCCTGCTCGATTTCCACCGCTTTGTGGCTGCCGAAGACCCGGAGAGAGAACTTGTTGACGGTCGGCTGCAGTAGCGTCCCGAGCTGCCGCCTCTTCGGCTCGGGCGCGGACTCGGGGACCCCACCTGAGGCCGCGCGGGCCTGGGCGGGAGCCGCGGGAGGCGTCTCGCGCGCCGGGGTCGCCGTTTCGCCGGGCCCCGCCGCCGGCCGCGCCTCCTCCTCCATGACCTCCCTCACTCGAAGGACCTTCCCAACGGGTCTATGGCCATGACGGGCGCGCTGGTGCCTGGGAGCCCAGCCAGGCACTCCAGCTTCCGACCGGCGTGCGCCCGGGGCGCAGGGGGCGTGTGCAGGCGACAGACGTGCGGGCGGACGGGCGGGCGCTGCGCCCCCTGGTGAGGGCTGCGCGAGACCTGGCAGGGCGGGCCGCCGGCTCAGCTGCAGCCCACACCCCCAGGGAGGGAGTGGCCTAGGGGTGCGGAGGGGGCCGGGGGGCGGCACCTCCCTTCTGGAGGCGGGAAACTCAGTGGGCCTTATGCAGTCCGTGAATCTCCCGATTCTTCTTCGCCATCCTTGTTCTTTCTCATCACTCTCCTAGGTGTCTTCCTCCTCCTGAGAGCCTCTAAACTACTTTCCGTCGTATGTTATTCCTAGTTCATTAAGTCAACCTTTGTCGAATGCCGCTCACTAACTGTACTGAGGATACAAAAATTAGCACAGAAATCTTAGATATTAAGCCAATGGTTCATCTGCTTAAACAGATCAACAAACATGAAAATCCCATACTACGTGCCATCAAGAGCCAAACATCTCTGCTTCTTCCCTTTGTTTCATCTGACTGCCACCGCCTTAGAAAAGCCCTCAGCATCTCCAACTAAATTATTTTAGAAAGTTTATGTTTTGTTTGATGTGGGTTGTAGCTCAGCTGGCTTGAACTTCTGGTCTTCGTGCCTCTACCTTTCAAGAGCTGGAATTACAAGTGTGTGCCACTAATCTTGTTTCAGACGTTTTAAATCATCTTTTGTTTTGTTTTGTTTTTGTTTTTTGTTTTTCGAGACAGGGTTTCTCTGTAGCTTTGGAGGCTGTCCTGGAACTCACTTTGTAGACCAGGCTGGCCTCGAACTCACAGAGATCCGCCTGCCTCTGCCTCCCGAGTGCTGGGATTAAAGGCATGCGCCACCAACGCCCGGCTGTTTTAAATCATCTTTAAAATGTGCTGGGCATATTCTTTGCCTTTCCTTCGCCATCGTGCGTCGTATGCCTGAGTCGGCTTCTCACTTCTCACAAGACTTCAGAATCAAGCAATCCCTGGCCAAGAAATAAAAACAAAATCATCCTATTCCTCAATGGATTCGGTGAAAACCGGTGACAAAATCAGGTACTGGAGGAGAACCAAGCTGAGCTTGTAAGGATTCACACGATGGCAAGACCGAGAGTTTGTACTGAATCATGGTCATCGCGATCTATCCTACCACATGGAGTTCAACATTTTTAACCTGGAGACTTGGTCACGTTTAAGTTGGGGGAATGGCTTGTCCAGTAATTAAAAAATATAGAGCCAGCCGGGCGTTGGTGGCGCACGCCTTTAATCCCAGCACTCGGGAGGCAGAGGCAGGCGGATCTCTGTGAGTTCGAGGCCAGCCTGGTCTACAAAGTGAGTTCCAGGACAGCCTCCAAAACAATGCAGAGAAACCCTGTCTCGAAAAACCAAAAAAAAAAAAATATATATATATAGCCTTTCAAACTAAAAATAAAAAAATTGCTGGGCATAGTGGTGCATGCCTTTCATTCCAGCACAGGAAGAGAGAGGCAGGTGGATCTCTGTGAGTTTGAGGCCGTCCTGGGCTATATATCAAGTCCCCATAACAGCCAGAACTACATAGAGAGACAGTCTCTAAAAAACTTTTTTAAAAAGGCCTGGTGGTGGCTCATACCTTTAATCCCTGCACTCAGAAGGCAGAGACTGGCTGAGTTCCAGGCCAGCCTGGTCCACAGAGCAAGTGCCAGGACAGGTTCCAAAGCTACACAGAGAAATCCTGTCTTGCAAAACAAAAGACAAAAACAAACAAACCAAAAATAGTCTTAAGCAAATTCTCCCAGACCAATTCATTCTCCCAGATCAATTCATTTTTTTCAGTCTGCAAGTAAATTTTCTACAGTCCACATGGAACTGGGTGACTTACTTAAAGTCCTTAAAAGGTCCCTATTTTAGAAATAAATTTAAACTCCTTAGCAATACTAAGTCACCAAAAATTGGACTTAGTCTTTTTTTTTTTAAAGATTTATTTATTATGTATACAGTGTCCTGTCTGCATGTATCCCTGCAGGCAGAAGAGGGCACCAGATCTCCTTACAGATGGTTGTGAGCCACCATGTGGTTGCTGGAATTGAACTCAGGACCTCTGGAAGGGTAGTCAATGCTCTTAACCTCTGAGCCATCTCTCCAGCCCCCTGGACTTAGTCTTTACAACATCTATTTTTTATAAATATTTGTTAAATATGAATTCTTTGTTCCTATGTATGTCTGTGCACCATGTATGAGCCTGGTGCCTGCAGAGTAATAAATGGAACTGGAACAGGGCTTCTCTGTGTAACGGTCTTGTCTGGGAACTCTCTTTGTAGACCAGGCTGGCCTTGAAATCACAGAAATCTACCTGCCTCTGCCTCCCAAGTGCTGGGACTAAAGGCGTGCACCACAACGCCCGGCAGTAGTCTTTTTCTTTTTTTTCTTTTCTTTTTTTTTCTTTTTTTTGTTTTTTGTTTTTCGAGACAGGGTTTCTCTGTATTGTTTTGGAGGCTGTCCTGGAACTCACTCTGTAGACCAGGCTGTCCTCGAACTCACAGAGATCCGCCTGCCTCTGCCTCCGGAGTGCTGGGATTAAAGGCGTGCACCACCAATGCCCGGCAGTAGTCTTTTTCTTAAAAGCCAGCAGCGTAGCAGATGATAGAGTGTCTTCTTCCTCTTAAGAAATAGTTTCCTAGCTGGGCGTTGGTGGCGCAGGCCTTTAATCCCAGCATTTGGGAGGCAAAGACGGGTGGATCTCTGTGAGTTCGAGGCTAGCCTGGTCTACAAAGCGAGTTCCAGGACAGCTTCCAAGACAATACAGAGAAACCGTGTCTTGAAAAACCAAAAAAAAAAAAAAAAAAAAAAAAAAAGAAAAAGAAATAGTTTCCTGCTGGGCATTTGTGGCAGAAAATCCCAGCACCTGGGAGACAGAGGCAGGTGGATCTCTGTGAGTTCGAGGCCAGACTAGTCTATAGAGCAAGTTCCAGGACAACAAAACAATACCCTGTCTTGAAAAACAAAAAAACAAACAACCCCCCCCCAAAAAATAGTTTTCGGCTTATTATTTTCTTCCAATTCTCTTTCCAACAACTGATCCATGCTATACCTCCTCTGGGAAACATAAAAACACATTGCTAATTTTTCCCTCAGTCTAGACTAGAGCTTTCTAAGAGCAGATAAGGCAGCCCTTTATTTATTTTTTTTATGTGTACAATCTTCTGCCTGCATGCCAGCAGAGGGTATCAGAGCTAGTTCAAGGTGGTTGTGAGCCACCATGTGGTTGCTGGGAATTGAACTCAGGACCTCTGGAAGAGCAGCCAGTACTCTTAACCTCTGAGCCATCTCTCCAGCCCCCCCAGCCAATGCTCTTAACTCCTATCTATCTCTCCAGCTCCTCAAATGAATAAATACATTTAAAAAATAAAGGTTTCTGAGACAAAGTCCTAAGTGTCCCCGGATAGCTTTAGAAACATTACGTAAGCCGGGCGTTGGTGGCGCACGCCTTTAATCCCAGCACTCGGGAGGCAGAGGCACGTGGATCTCTGTGAGTTCAAGGCCAGCCTAGTCTACAGAGCGAGTTCCAGGATAGGCTCAAAAACAATACAGAGAAACCCTGTCTCGAAAAACCAAAAAAAAAAAAAGAAAAAAGAAAAAAAAAAAAGAAACATTATGTAGCCAAAGATAGCCTTCAGCCACTGATTCTTTTTTTTTTTTTTTTTTTTTGGTTTTTTGAGACAGGGTTTCTCTGTGGCTTTGGAGGCTGTCCTGGAACTCGCTCTGTAGACGAGGCTGGCCTCGAACTCACAGAGATCCGCCTGCCTCTGCCTCCCGAGTGCTGGGATTAAAGGCGTGCGCCACCACCGCCCGGCTCAGCCACTGATTCTTCTGCCTCTGCTTCCCATGTCCTGGGATTCATTCATTACATGTGTAAATTGTATGTGTGTCTCTCCAGTCAGAGCATCCTGGCTAACAGGCAACTACTCTGTCAATTGGGCACCACATTCTGAACTAGTTTGTCTCTGAGACAATCTCACACTGTAGCCCATGCTGGCCTCGAGTTTTCCAAATCCTCTTGCCTCAGCCTTTTGAGAACCGAGATTATGGGCATTAGCTACTATGCTTAACGTCTTGTTCTTTTTAAATATTTAGTAAACTTGGGCTGGAGAGATGGCTCAGTGGTTAGGAGTTCGAATTGCTCTTCCAGAGAATCCAGCACCTACATCTAACAGTTCAAAACTGCCTATAATTCCAGGTCCAGGGGAACCAACGCCCTCTTCTGACCGCTATGAATACCTGCACTGACATGCACATACCCTGCTAGAGACAAATAATTTAAGGTAAATCTAAAAACAAGGAGAGAAGATTCGGTAAATTTAATACAAACTAGCTAAAACACCATGCTTCCCAATTCTGGCGCCCTAATTCTCCCGACTCTGTACCTGCCCCAAGCATAAATGACTTTTGTGCTCGTGTAGGGCAGCAGGAGGTTGCATTTTCAAGCTATGCTTGAAGAATCTAACTTCACAAAGCCTCACTGGAGTCCTCTGCCCAAAAGTGATACAATGTAAATAATGATACTTTCCTTAAACACCCAATACTAAATAAGACACAAATGTCTTCGGGTGAAGAGCAAGAAGGAGGCCTGAAAAAGGATAAGATGCGTAGAGGCCCAATAAACACGTGACAAGTTCCTAGTGCCACCCGACCCGAACTAAAAGGCGCACCCGGGGCTTTGCGGTCTCCGGCGAGTGCGGGCTAAGACTAGGAGCACACCGAAAGGCCCCGGTGTGCGAGGGCGGAGCCCATCAGAGTCTGGGAAGTGACGCAGGACGTGCGTGCGTACGTGTGTGCGTGCGGGCTCGCTCACGGCAGCGGCGGCGGAGCGGAGAGGCCAGAGCCGGAGACCGAGCTGGGATCGGGCCCCGGGCGGGGGCGGTGCGAGAGGCGCCGAGCGGATCCAGGGGGCGGGGACGGAGCCCGGGCGGGCGGGACTGGAGCAGAGCCCGGGAACGGGGCGGGAGGTCCCAGGGCCCCGGGTTGGGGGGTGGAACCGCACTTCGTCGCCGCGGGGGTGCCGGGACTCCGGCCGCAGTGCCGCCGCCATCACGGACTTCCTGTGGGACAAGCGCACGGGCCTCGCCGCCAGAACGGTGAGCGCGCGGGCTGACGGATCTTGGGGCCGCGGAAAGATGGCTACCACCAGACGGGCGGCGACGGGATGAGACGAAATTAGGAAGGAGTGTTGGGCTCTGGAAGCGGCAGAGTAGCGCGATAAGAGGGAGGGAGGAGGACCTGCCTCGCGGGAGCGGCGAGACCTGTAGTAAACTTGGAGGGAGCCGTAGAAGTGATGAGATAGGGACGGGAGCGCTTCCGTACGTGCAAAAGTTGGACTAAGGGTTTCATACGAACCGAGAAGTGTTACTTGAAGTGTACAGGAAGAGTTTGACTCTAGGGAATTATTCTGTGTTTTCTGCGTAAGAAAGGGGGAGGCAAGATTTAGAAGTTGAGAAAAGTTAGACTGGATTTGCTTTGCTAAGAAAGACCCGAGTGACAGTGTTGGTAGGGTCTCCGAAGTGAAATGGCAATTATGTTAATCAAGATTGAGTTACCTGGGCCAGTCTCGTGCTTCATCTTCTTGGTTTTCTGCCAGTCACTTTAGGCCAATGTACTGTAGGTCACCTTCCTTAATTTAAGAAGGTTGGGAGGAAGTGGCCCAGGATGGCAACCAGATGTTGGCGTTAAACCTGCAGACCTCATGTTCTCAGTCCTGGACCAAGGCTGTCCTTGAGACTCCTCTTACTCAGTTTGTCTTGTGCTTTTCCTGAATTATGACAGTGATTTCGCTCTGAGTTTTTCCTTTGACCGAAAAATTACTCATAAACCTTAACCAGCCCAGTTTTGTTTAATGGAGGCTCAGCTGTCAGCCAGGTAGTACTGATACTAGTTAAAAACTGGTTATTAGGCTGGGTTATAGTTCAGTTGATATGGCGGTGCTCACCTAGCAAGAATGAAGCCCCGGGTAAAGCCAGGCATGATGAGGCCGAGCCTATTCCTCCACTTGGAAGTAAAGGTGGGAGGATCAGACATTCAAGACCATCCTAGGTGACGTATCAAAACTGAGCACGGGGCTGGAGAGATGGCTCAGTGACTAAGAGTACTGGCTCCTCCTCCGGAGGAGGACCTGGGTTCAATTCCCAGCAGCCACATGGCAGCTCACAACTGTCTGTGACTCCAGTTCCTGGTGATTCGACACTCACACAGACATACATGCAAGCAAAACATCAATAAAGTAAATAATTTTTAAAAATTGAGGACAGCCTAGAATATGTTAAGTCGCACTTCCTACAAAAAGAAAACAAGCCAAGTGTGGTTGTGGAAGCCTTTCATCCCAGCACTCAGGAGGCAGAGACTAGAAAGATCTCTGAGTTCAAGTTCAGGTTTGTATAGCAAGTTCCAGGCCAGCCAGGGTTATATAAAATGACCTTGTCTCAAAACAACAACAACAAAAAGCCAGGCTATGGTAGTTCACACTTAATCTTAGCACTTGGGAGACAGAGGCAGGCAGAGTTCAAGACCAGCCTGGTCTACACAGAGTTCCAGGACAGCCAGAACTACAAAGAAACCCCATCTTGAAAAGTCAAAAATAGAAGGCAAATCTCAGTTATTTTCTACTTACTAAATACAGTGGTGGTGGGAATGTACAACTACCTTATGGTACTGTTTTACAACTTTGTCAGAAATTTGGTCAGATGTGCGAGAGACATTTATTTATAGGACCACACCCTGGTCCCTAGAACTTGCTAGTATCTGGTACTAGCTATTTGTAAGATCCTGGGAAACTGAATTCCTGCCCTTGTGGTACTCCGAATCTAGTAATGGGGGTTGTGTGTGTGATAAGATTTGCTGTTAATAACTAAAGCAGCCATGTAAACTGAAGCTTTATTTTGTTTGCTTGTGAAGAACTTGGGACGGCAGAGCTGCATAGCTTAGATTGCAGGAGAGATGAACTTTGGCAATATTTATCAGACACATTTGTCACCTCTCATGAACTGTGTGGCTCAGGCCTGATGGTCTTCATGGAGCCATGTTTGAGGGAGAGCAATTGAATTGGACTTTCTTGAGCTTTTAGCCAAAATTTGTAGGTGGCTGTATAGTCCGTAAAGGAAAATTTGTGAACACAAAGACTGAGGAATCTGTGTTAAAAGGCGTATAAGGCAGCTTCGCATCTTCATAAGCACACAGTCCCAGAGAGAGCTTCAAAAACTCAAGAGTGTTCCTACCATCTGCTTTTCCTCCCTTCCAGATGCCTCATCCACGAAGGTACCGTTCCTCAGAGCGTGGCAGCCGAGGGAGTTATCACGAACACTATCGGAGCCGAAAGCATAAACGAAGAAGAAGTCGGTCCTGGTCGAGTAGCAGCGACCGGACAAGGCGGCGGCGGAGGGAGGACAGCTATCATGTTCGGTCCCGAAGGTGAGGCCTCAGCAAGAGACTGACTCCAGGTCACTGGTTTTCTCATTCATTCAATAAATGGGCTAAGCAGCTGGCTGATGGTGACATGGGGCTAAGTATGTACTTCTGTGACAAAGCATGTACTTAACATAGCATGCATTTGTCCCTGGGTTCACTTCCTGGCATTACAAAAATGTTGGTGGTAGGTACCTATAACTCCCAGCACTTGGGATTAGGCAAGGAGGATTATGAGTCCAAGGATCATTTGGGCTTCGTACTGAGTTTGAGGCCAGCCTGGTCTATACAGTGAGACTCAAAGAAAAAAAGTATTTTTCTGAAAGGTGCTTTTGTAGAGGAAGTACTTAGGGGTGGAAGCTATGCCCCCCGGGCATTGTTGGAATGGATCTGGACCTGTGTAGTTAAGGGGAAACTTGCTTTTTTTTTCCCTTTAAATTTTATGTGTATGTGAGTTTTACCTGCATGTCTGTCTTGGATTACATGCACCCCTGTTACCCTCAGCGGTCAGAAGAGGGCATGGGACCCCTAGAACTGGAGGTGCAGATGGCTGTGAGCTGCCATGTGGGCCCTGGATCCTCTGAAAGAGCAGCCAGTGCTCCTAACCATTGTGCTGTCTCTCTAGTCCTTTGCTTTTGTTCCTGAGACAAGGTGTCACTGTATAGTTCTGGCTGGCCTAGAACTTTCTGTGGAGACCACAGGCACCGGCCTCCTCTGCTGGAGCACTTGGATTAGTGGTGTGTACCAGCATGCCTGACTCATGGACAGCCTCTTAAGAAAGGGAGGGACAAATGCAAATCAGTGGTGGAAATGTCCTCAGGTGGCAGACAGTACATGCCATGGACCAATAGCTGAAGAGAGCTCATGAACCACATGACAGTTAGGTCTGTGGGGCTTTAATAATTCAGTGGAATGGAGAGGAGTGGGTTGGATTGGAGCAAGGCTGCATTTCATTTGGAAACATTAGAGAGCAAACGGCTTCTTTGTTCCTTGTGTCATTGGGGGGGGGAGGAGCCCCCAGCAGAGAAGGTGCAGGTGCTTTCAGAGAAGGCTTGGTGATATGCAGGTGTGGGCAAGCACCCTCTGCCTCCTTGTGTTAGTCCCATGGTTCTTTTCCCTAATGTAGGACCGTGCTGCATGGTGTGACAGGGAATGTGGCCTGGCCTGACATTCCTAATGAATATTTGTTGTCCAACAGCAGCTATGATGATCATTCATCTGACCGGCGGGTATATGATCGTCGGTACTGTGGCAGCTACAGGCGCAATGACTACAGCCGAGAACGAGGAGAGGCCTACTATGACACTGACTTTCGCCATTCCTATGAGTACCATCGGGAGAACAGCAGTTACCGAAGCCAGCGCAGCAGCCGGAGGAAACATAGACGACGGAGAAGACATAGCCGCACGTTCAGCCGCTCATCTTCAGTGAGTGCCAGCCCGGGCCTTTCTCTCCCCATTCTTCTTGAGTCCCTCAGGGACCATGATAAATAAAAGTCCCTTGTTCTCAATCATGCTTTGGAGCATGAACATTGAAGTGGGCACTGAGTGTGCCTACCCTCTTGGAAGCTCTCCGACTTTTGAGGGACTCCAGGCCTGCTTTGGAGATAGAAGGGCATGGGACCTTTATGCCCTAAGTGATATGTTGGGTTTGTGTTGGGAGCAGCTGCTCTGCCTCGAGGCCTCCAGTTTTTGATGAGGACCTTGGTTTTGAAAGGCCGGTGTCTACCAAACCCTGGGCTCTGGCCCCTCAGCAGGAGAGTTCGGGTGGGGTGCAAGGGAAGACTTCGTCTGCCTAGAAGGGAGCTTTTTATAGCATGGGGTGTGGGTAACACTGGCAACATCATCACCTCTCTGCTCTGCCCGTGCCTCTCCCTGTCCTGATTTGGGTTTGGGGACTTGGGATTATGCGCCGCTCTCTCTTCTCACACCGATCCGCCTTACCGCATCTGACGTGTTCCCTTCCACTGTCCCCCATCATCGTCTGTCCCCCCCTGGCTGGGCGCCTGTGACCGGTGACCCCTCCACCACCCACCCCGTCTCCCTCCGGCCCCCGATCCGACACCTGGCTTGCTCCGACCCCCCCCACCCCCCGACAGCAGCACAGCAGCCGGAGAGCCAAGAGTGTAGAGGACGACGCTGAGGGCCACCTCATCTACCACGTCGGGGACTGGCTGCAAGAGCGATGTACAAGCCAAATCGTAACAATCCTATAGCCTGTAATGGTCCCATAGCCATCCTAACGTCCCATGCCAACCCAAGCCACGGCCTCTCGCCTTTTCTCAGTGGTGTTGCTCATCTGGGTGGTTTGAGTTGCTGTTGAGAATTGACCTGTTGTCCACTCCCAGCTCTCATGGCCCGTGGGTTAAAGGTGGTGGGAGTCACACAGGGGTTTTCTTCCCTTGCAGCCATCCATATCTGTTCCCCTTCCTTCATCTCCTCACCCCAGGCTGCTGTGCCCTGTTTTCTTCCAATTCATCTCATTCCCCCCCTTTTCTCCCTCCCTCTCCCCGACCCTGCTTTCTTTCGTTTCAGATGAAATTGTAAGCACCTTAGGAGAAGGGACCTTTGGCCGCGTGGTGCAGTGTGTGGACCATCGCAGGTAACTGCTGGCCTGCTGCTCCCTCCACATCTGTTAAGCGCAGAAGATTATGAGGGCATCAGATTTGTTTGCAGCTTAAACAGAATGAATGCCTTAGTGCTTACACTGATCCATTCTGTCTGAGATGTTCTTGAACCCAACAGAAGCCTCCCCTATTGACCTGCAGGGGTGGAGCAAGAGTTGCCCTGAAGATCATTAAGAATGTGGAGAAGTACAAGGAAGCAGCTCGACTAGAAATCAACGTGCTAGAGAAAATCAATGAGAAAGATCCTGACAACAAGAAGTAAGCAAAGGACTGTGAGGAGGCTAAGGGGCTCCACCCTCCAGAAGGAAGACTCCAGATGGGGCTAGGCAGGCAGGCAGGAGAATATAGAGTTTCTCATCCATTCAGTCTTTCCTTTTAAAGATACAGTTTTCCTGTGTGGTTCTTCCGGGCCTTGAACCTTTTTGCGGACAGGTTGGCCTTGAGCTCACAGAGACCCTCCTGAGCACTGAGATTAAAGGCCTGTGCCACCACACCCAGTCCATTCAACTTTTCTTTTTCTTTTAAGGATTTATCTATTTATTATGTACACAGTGTTCTGCCTTCATGTATTCCTGCAGGTCATAAGAGAGCACCAGACCTCATTACAGATGGTTGTGAGCCACCATGTGGTTGCTGGGAATCGAACTCAGGACCTCTGGAAGAGCAATCAGTGCTCTTAACCTCTGAGGCATCTCTCCAGCCCTCCATTCAACTTTTGATCCTATGAGTGCAGTAGACTAACCCTGACATTCTTTAACCCACTTGACTTGTTTATTATATGACATGCAGGTTGCTCTGCAATAAGGGAATGTACCTGGCATTGATGAGCATCACTATTGATGATGTAAGCCTATAATCCCAGCCACTTGGGAGCAGAGGAAAAGACAGATTGGAAGCACAAAGCCTGCCTGGGCCACAGAGCAAGCTCAAGGTGGCCTGAGCAATTTAGTAAGACCTTTTCTCACAAGTGAAAAGGTGCTGGAGGAGATGTAACTCGGGATGGAGTGCCAGCCAAGTGTCTTACAGAGCACTAAATTCAAACCCAGTACAACATGGACACACACTTGCTCAGGAAGCCGAGGCAGGACAGTCTGAAGCTTGAGACCAAGACTGCAGAGATGGCTCAGCAGCTAAGAGTGCATACTACCATTAGGTAGGATATGAGTATAGTTTCCAGCACCCACATAGGAGCTCACAATAGCTTTGCAGGGGCCAGGCAATGGTGGCACACAGCACTCGGGAGGCAGATGCTGCTGGGTCTCTGAGGTCAAGGCCTGGATGTACATAGTGAGTTATAACAGAACCGAGGCCATGCAGAGAAACCCTGTCTAGAAAAACAACAAATAGCTCTAGGGGAATCCAGCACCTCCAGCCTCCTCAGCAACCCGCAGTCACATGCACATAACTCACAAACATAATTAAAAATAAAATCTTAGCCGGGCGGTGGTGGTGCACGCCTTTAATCACAGCACTCGGGATTGGGACTAGGTCAGATTGGGCAACGGTGAGACCCAGACTTAATAAAAAGGTTATGTTGGTAGTTGAGAGTCCACATTGTTTGGAATTAGGTGCTAATAGCTCTTCAGCAAATAGTTGGGGGTGGGGTGCTCATTTGAGTTAGGGTCATATTACTTGGCCCGAGCTAGCCTTAAATTCATGGTGATCCTCCTGCCTCTAAGTTCCTGGGTGCTCTGATTGTTGGAGTCCACCACCACACCCTGCTTAACAGATTTTGTTTTCCTTGTTTTTTTTTTTTTTTTTTTTTTTTTTTTTGGTTTTTCGAGACAGGGTTTCTCTGTATTGTTTTGGAGGCTGTCCTGGAACTCACTCTGTAGACCAGGCTGGCCTCGAACTCACAGAGATCCGCCTGCCTCTGCCTCCCGAGGGCTGGGATTAAAGGCCTGCGCCACCAACGAACGCCCGGCTTGTTTTCCTTGTTTTGAGGTTGGGGATTGAACATGACCTCTTGCATGCCAGACAAGTGTTGTATGCCTGAATTACAGCCCAGGCCAGCCAATAGGTTTTTTTGTTTTTTGTTTCTTTTGTTTGTTTGTTTGGTTGGTTGTTGTTGTTTTGTTTAGTGTTTTTGTTTTTTGGTTTTTCGAGACAGAGTTTCTCTGTATTGTTTTGGAGGTTGTTCTGGAACTGCTCTGTAGACCAGGCTTGCCTGGAACTCACAGAGATCCACCTGCCTCTGCCTCCTGAGTGCTCGGACTAAAGGTGGGCGCCACCAACGCCCGGCCAACCAATAGGTTTTGAACTACTTAAACTGTTACAAAAATATGTTTGAGAATTTGCAGGTAGTGCTTTTTGGTACCTCCAAAAAGGCTATTCTCTTAACTGAATTTTGTTTTTTGTTTTTTGAGTTATGGGGTATCATGTAGCTCAGGCTAACCTTCTCAAACTCACTATGTAGTTGAGAATAACCTTGAGTTTATGATTCTCCTGCCTCCACCTCCCAAGTGCTGAAATTAAAGGTTCATGCCATTGTAACTTATATGTGATGCTGCAGATTGCACCTTGGGCCTTGTGCATGCTAAGTAGCCACTATACCAAGTGAGCTACATTCCTAGCCTTATTATTGATACTAACTGGTGTGTTTATACAACTGTGGAACCAACAACTGTGCGGCCCTTCCTTTTGGTGGGGTGGTGGGCTGTTGGGAGCTTATTGGACATCCAACTTCCCCTGTCTTTCCCCAGCCTCTGTGTCCAGATGTTTGACTGGTTTGACTACCATGGCCACATGTGTATCTCCTTTGAACTTCTGGGCCTTAGCACCTTCGATTTCCTCAAAGACAACAACTACCTGCCCTACCCCATCCACCAAGTGCGCCACATGGCCTTCCAGCTCTGCCAGGCCGTCAAGTGTGAGTGGGGTGGGTGAGGCGGACTCTGGGGCAGCCTTCCTTCCTTCCTTCCTTCCATCAGACCTCTGTCCTTGTGTGCTGGAAGCCCTTAGCCAGCCAGTGCACCTGCACACCTGTGGCTGTGCCGCCGTCTCCTGACTCCCCCGACTGATGTCTTCACCTCAGTGAGCTCCGTTGCTCTTCCTGCACGCCCACAGCACTTAGTGTCTTTTCCTCATCCCTTCTTTCCTGGAGCAGTGCTGGACAGCAGGCACAGACGCACAGACATACTCTTGCTGGAGTCTTAGGTGTGTGTAGTGAGGTACTCTTCATTCAGGCAGAGCAGATGGGAGAGCACTGAATCATTCTGCTTCGATGTGAGCTTCAGAATCTAGAGTCGTCGTCCTCTGCATTTTCACAGTGCTGCCATTTTAATGAATTGAGTTTGCAGAATGTCTGATAACTACATAGACCAGAGTGGAGACCAGACAAAAACTCCCACTGTGGCACACTGCTGCTTTTCTATCTGATGAACTATATGTGCGTTTTTTTATCGCTCAGGGTAGATCTTAGACCAGGCGTTTCATTTAGTTGCAGAGCAGAAAGTAGTCCCAGGAGAGTCTGGGTCTGCCTCCCCACCAGCTTTATCCTTGGTACTGCTGCCCGCTAGCACTAGCCACCTGGGTCAAGCCTGATCTAGCCTTCTCCCCTGCAGTCCTCCATGATAACAAGTTGACACATACGGACCTCAAACCTGAAAATATTCTGTTTGTGAATTCAGACTACGAACTCACCTACAACCTAGAGAAGGTAAGATGGACAGGGCCAGCCTCTGGCCAGAGGGGAAGGCGACTGGGCCGCGTGGCTTTTGGTTAGCACCTTGTGTTCTCTTACTAATGTTTCCCTGTTTGCCTCCAGCTGGGTAAAGCCAGTGTACACAATAAGGGAACAATTTAAGAAGTCTTAAATTGAAAGACAATTTGGAAAGTTTCTAACAGGGTGAAAATCTCCATGTTCCCTCTCTTAGATGTGCATTTCTGTGTGTTAGGGAAACAGCTTGCTTGGCAGCTTGAGGTCTCAGCACTAAAGGTCCTCTTCACCCTTCGCTACACATTACAGATTTCCAGAACAGTACACCAGACACTTGAGTCTAGTCTTCGGGTACTTAGAGACTTCCATATTATCCCATAATCATTTCTTAGTCTTCTTCCTTTCCTACTCTTAAGGTACTGGAAGAGATGGGTGTGGTGGCCCATGTCTGTAATCCCAGCACTTGGGAGGCTCTGAGGCAGGAGGATTGCTGCAGGTTTAAAGCCTGACTGGGATACATAGTGAAATCCTATTTTAAACAAACAACAAAATACCAGGAGCCAGATGTTCCTGGGTGTGGGACCAGGCTGCATTTTCTCAGACTCAAGCCCCTTAGCCTGGGAACCTCCGTCTGACAGATTCCTTCCCGCTGCTTTGCTCCTAGAAGCGAGATGAGCGCAGTGTGAAGAGCACGGCGGTGCGGGTGGTGGACTTCGGCAGCGCCACCTTTGACCACGAGCACCATAGCACTATTGTCTCCACTCGCCATTACCGAGCCCCAGAGGTCATTCTCGGTAAGGGAGCTCAGGGCTTCCCGGTGTGAGGTGATGTGAGGGTAGCGTGTCCTAAGCATCGTCATTCCCCTTGCTCCTCACTGCAGAGTTGGGCTGGTCACAGCCCTGTGACGTGTGGAGCATAGGCTGCATCATCTTTGAGTACTACGTGGGCTTCACCCTCTTCCAGGTAAGTAAGTGGCCATATTACTGGGCCACCTGGCATTCTTCTGATTGGTTTCTCGATCGGCTGAAAACGTACCCCTCAGTCCTCCACATTAGCCATCTACCAACTAGTCCCCAGCATTCCTTCCCGGTTTCATGCTTAGATCTATCTTTGTTTCCCAGACCCATGACAACAGAGAACATCTAGCCATGATGGAAAGGATCCTGGGTCCTATCCCTTCTCGGATGATCCGAAAGACAAGGTGAACCTTGAGCAGAAAGGGCTGCCCTTTTCTTTCCATGGGATTTGTCTGTTGTGTATCATCTTACCTCCCTAGCCCCCACTTTCACTTAGGTAAACAAGGGAAAGCATTTTATAAAAGGGGAACCTTCTGATGCAACAACCTCCCCTTCCCCTCTAGAAAACAGAAATATTTTTATCGGGGTCGTCTGGATTGGGATGAGAACACCTCAGCTGGGCGCTACGTCCGTGAGAACTGCAAACCACTACGGGTGAGCCCAGCCAGGGATACATATATATATATTTCCACAACCTAAAGGCTGCTTCCTTCTTAGGGTGGTTTGCCCCTGGAATGCATTTTATAAGCAGACGGTTGGGGGGGGACTGAAAGACGACAATATGATCAACAGTGGATAGAAAAGAATGCTCTCACAGAGGCAAGGAGGTTAGATAGCCTAACCTCGAGACGACCAGAGATCACAGCAAGTCCTGGATTCTTTAGGTCAGACAGAATAAAGTACCTTTGAAGAGCTTACGTTTTAATGTGGAGTAAAGATTCATGAAGTTGACAAGTAAAACTTCAAAGACTGTGAAGGCAATTGTGCTAGTAGGAAGGTGGGCCATGCTGTGGTTGTAGTAAGGTAGCATTCAAATTGTGTGCAAACCAAGCCTCGGTGCTGTTTTTCCAAAAGGGACAGGTAGGGCTTTAAAGGAGGCAGAGAGCTCAGCATGGTGGCACAGGCTTGTGATCCCAGCGCTTGGGGTACTGAGGCAGGAGAATATTGAGTTCAAAGTCAGCTGCAGTGCACAGTCCCAGAACCACCTGGGCTGCGTAGAGACCCTGACTGAGAGGAAAGAAAGGTGACACGAGTGTGTGAGGCGCCCTGCTCTACCTTATTCCTGCCTTCCACCAGCGGTATCTGACCTCAGAGGCAGAGGAACACCACCAGCTCTTCGATGTGATTGAAAATATGCTTGAGTATGAACCTGCTAAGCGGCTGACCTTAGGTGAAGCCCTTCAGCATCCTTTCTTCGCCTGCCTTCGGACTGAGCCACCCAACACCAAGTTGTGGGACTCCAGTCGGGATATCAGTCGGTGACAATCAGGCCTTGGACCCCCCTGCTTGTTGTGTAGCAGTGGGTGTCCAGTCCAGGACACTGGTGCTTTTTTATACAAGAGAACAGAGCCAGAAATCACCCCCTCTCCTGCCCCTGGCTCCTTTATACCTGTGAATATGTGACATAGTGTACATATGACAGATCTTGTACCTGTCACTGCAGCCCCTGCCTTGTACATACTGCTACTTACATGCTTCCAGCCTCGTCTGCCTCTTCTGTGGAGTTGGATGGGGGCAGAATGAGGTGACCAGGTGGTGTCTACCCCAGGTTTTATAAGGGATTTTGTACAGTCTTTGTGAAATAAAATGACATGCTTCATCTGACCCCCATCCCTGGAATTTGAGGTTCAAAGGTACTGGGGTAAAGGGGTAAAACGATTGATACCTATTTTGAATTTGAGTATGAAGGCAGAGCTTCTCTGCCCTGCTAATTTAGAGCCAGATTATGAGTTTAAATTGCACTTTGTGTTCGAAGGTACTGAAGATTAAAAAAGATGCAATCAGGTAGAACTTGTGTGATCTGGACTAGTTAGTGTTGGGAAACAGCTTTGACCCTGTAAATCACTGGATGTGTGACGGTAGCCCTGAGGCTGTCCCCACCCATACAGCCTGAAACCCATGTAGAAAACTCCCGCCACCGGCCAGTGCAAAAAATTCCCATCTGTACTGCTTTACACTAGTCTACCTGGGATAAGTAGTTCTTTCCTGCTAGGAGGTCACGTGGAGGAAGTGCAGCGGTAGGCTGCGGAGACTGGTTCAGAGTTGTCACGTGAGGTACTTCCCGCTTTAGGTTTTTTTTTTCTTTTTAACCAATGCGCAGGCGCAGTTCGCTACTGCTGCGGGAATCTTGGTGACTCTTCCGGTTGGTTCAGCTAATCGGAACACACAGAAGCGGGTGGCCCGAGTGCACCGGAGGGAGTTCTCAGGGCCGCTGCCGCCTTACTGCTGCGGCAGGGGCGTGGAGGGCAGGGGCGGCCGGGCTCAATTGCAAACATGGCTCAGAGCAGAGACGGCGGGAGCCCATTCCCCGACTCCGGCGAGCTTGACAATCCCTTCCAGGTGACTTGCGCCGGCCTCTTTTGGGCAGTCTTTTCCCCAGTTCTAAGGGGTCGGGCTACTATTCCCATTCGTGACATTTGACCCGGGGAAGGTACGTAGAGGTGATGGTAGCTCCAGACCATTGAGATTTGGGGCACTAATGGGGAGCGGGCACTGCTCCACTAATGAGTGGGTTCTAGCAGTGTAGGGTGAACTTGAAGGCAAATGTTGGAGACAACGGCGTGGCACCGAAGTCTCAGTACTTGGAGTCACGAGCAGTTTCAGGAAGTTCCTAGGAATTCCCGTAGCCCCGAGTGCCCGCTGAGCCAAGTCTCTGCTCTCAGGACCCAGCTGTGATCCAGCACCGACCCAGCCAGCAGTACGCCACGCTTGATGTCTACAACCCTTTTGAGAACCGAGAGGTGAGCAATTAGGAGCACAGAAGAGCAGGAAAGGGGGAGTGTGCCATAAACTGGGTCCGTGCACACTGGGTTTTGTTTTTGTTTTTGTTTAATGCAGAGAAGAGAATCGAGGTTGGGGCTAGTCAGGGTTGAGAAGCCGACTTAGGTGTGCGATTAGAGGGCAAACAATGAAGAAGAAACAAGTGAGTAGAGATTAAGGAGGGAGTCAACTGGTAAAGTGCCAGCTATCAAGTGCACTACCCTGTATTGATCCCCAGCCGAAGCACTACAGAAACGGAGTGTGATAGGTAACACAGCTGGGCAATCCTAGCACGTGAGAGGTACTGGCGGGAGTATTAGAAGTTCAGGTATCCTTGGGTAGTGGCAAGTTGGAGGCCAGGGTGCAGTGTGTGAGACCCGAGTTCAGTCCCCAAGAACGATGTGATGGAGGAAGAAAACAAGCTTCCACAAGGTACCCTCTGACCCCCACACTCACTCCATGATTCGAGAGAGCACAGACAGGAACGCACAATGAGTAGGTAAATTGATTTAAAAAAATAAGACGGGCCGGCGGTAGTGGCACACGACTTTAATCCCAGCACTGGGGAGGCAGAGGCAGAGGCAGGCAGATCTCTGAGTTTGAAACCAGCCTGGTCTACAAGAGCTAGTTCCAGGACAGCCTCCAAAGCCACAGAGAAACCCTGTCTCCTCAAAAAAATAAATAAATGAATGAATGAATAAAAAGTAAGACAGCCTGGCCTACAGAGGGAGTGCCAGAATAGGCTCCAATACTACACAGAGAAACCATGTCTCAAAAAACAAAGAAAAAAAATTAAAGACTTAAAGAGATGATACTGGGTAGATGCTTTAAGTGTTGCTGAAGCATCAGACATAAGAGGCTGTGGCCAGGATTGCTACAAGTTCTGATTAAGTTATCCAACTTAAATAAATTCACAGAAGAAGTAGCTTCCTATCTAGGAACGTGACACAGGGCTGTCAGTGCTTAGACTGAGGCATGAGGATTGCAAGTTCTAGGCCAGCCCAAATGTCTGTCTGTTATCTCAAAAACAAAGCAAACATCAAGGGGGCCCCTAACTTGTAGGGAGGAGCGCTGCTGATGTGACTGATGAGTTCTGGTTGCAGGTGGTATCAAGCAGACTAGCGCGTTAGCTGATCTCTAAGGCTTGTTTCCAACAGCCTCCCCCAGCCTATGAGCCTCCTGCCCCAGCTGCAGCCCCAGCCCCGTTGCCGCCTCCCACAGCTCCCTCTGTACAGTCCTCAAGAAAGCTCAGCCCCACAGAGCCCAAGAACTATGGCTCCTACAGCACTCAGGTAAGGGGTGTGCCGTTGGTAAGGACAGGAGCCAGTGCTGGGTCTGGAAATCACACCTTCCTATGCTCATGTCCCTTAGGCTTCTGCTGTGGCAGCCACTGCTGAGCTGCTCAAGAAGCAGGAGGAACTCAACCGGAAGGCGGAGGAGCTGGACCGCCGGGAGCGGGAACTGCAGCACGTTGCCCTGGGTGGCACAGGTAGTAAGTGGTTCCTGGTTAGGGTGAGAAAGAGTGCTGGACAGCTTGGAAGGAGCCACTAAAACATCTGAAGAACATGGGTTCATCAGTCAGATTGTTAAAGCTGAGTTATAATTATAGTTGGCACTGCTCCTCAGCCTTGGGTTCTTAAGCAGTTACATAATGGGTTGTTTGGTTTTTTTTTTTAAGATTTACTTACAATATTTTTATTTTACATGTGTGTTTTGCCTGCATGTTTATAAGTGAATCCATATGTGTGCAGTGTCCATGGAGACCAGAAGAGGGCAACTTACCCCTGACTCCCCGCTCCCTGTTGTTAACCCTCCTGTGGGTGCTGGAAACACCGCCCTGCGTCTGTGCCAGAGCAGCCTGTGCTTAAGCACAGAGCCATCTCTCCAGCCCTTGGGTGCTAATCTTAGGCATCCTGCCACTGAGCTACACCCCAAACATTTGGTACTTTATATTGAACACTTCAGCTTACTATTTTCTAAAGCATTCTTCTCATTTTACAAAAGGAGAAAATTGTGATGGTTGAATAAAATCGCCTATGTAGAGCTCTTGACATGAGCCTCAGATACTTCAAATAATAACTGTTTGCTTACCATTATTTTTCTGTTCTTTGTTTTGTCTTGGAAGGGTCTTGCTGTGTAGACCAGGCTGCACTGGAACTTTCTGTCCTCCTGCCTCAGCCTCCTCAGTGTGGGATTATAGGCAGCACTACCATGCCTACTATTTTCCACGTTTTGTTTCTTTGTACCTATAATTGAGGAGACGTAGGAATGGAGGGAGGGGAGTGTGTTCCTTCCTGATTCACTCGTTTTTTGAGGCATTCCTCCTGTTTTTTGCCTTACAGCTCGACAAAACAACTGGCCTCCCCTTCCATCTTTTTGCCCAGTTCAGCCTTGCTTTTTCCAGGACATCTCCATGGAGATCCCTCAAGAGTTCCAGAAGACAGTGTCCACCATGTACTACCTCTGGATGTGTGAGTGTGAGAAGTCTTTTTGGGAGGTGCTACAGATAAATCTGCTAAATGCCCTGGAACACACTCTTGAGAGCTTTAATGTTTCTTCAAGGACCCTTAGAGTTTCTCGTGTGTGTGTGTGTGTGTGTGTGTGTGTGTGTGTGTGTGTGTGTGTGTGTGTGTGTGTGAGTGTGGTGTGTATGTTCTTAGCCCACCTTCCCCTCTGCCACCATCCGTAAATGGATTCTGAATTTTTGCAAAGTCTCTTCAAGGAGATCATATCTGATCAGTGGGGTTGATTCTCCAGAGCGTGGGCCCCATCCTTTCATGCTGCTGCCTCATTGGAAAGGCATATGTGACAGGCTTCATTGCATTCCAGAAAGTTCCTTCATCCTGTCCTCTGCCCCTCAGGCAGCACTTTGGCTCTTCTCCTGAACTTCCTCGCCTGCCTGGCCAAGTTCTGTGTGGAGACCAGCAGTGGCTCAGGCTTCGGGCTGTCTATGCTTTGGCTCCTCCTCTTCACCCCCTGCTCCTTTGTCTGCTGGTATCGCCCAATGTATAAGGCTTTCCGGTAAGTGCTGGAGGGCGCCGCACGTCCCATAGCTGCTCCCCCAACCCTCATCTTCTAGTTCTCCCACACGTCTCTCTCTCTCTTTGCAGGAGTGACAGCTCATTCAATTTCTTCGTGTTTTTCTTCATTTTCTTCGTCCAGGATGTGTTCTTTGTCCTCCAGGCCATTGGCATCCCAGGGTGGGGCTTCAGGTGTGTGCGTTCCCGTTTATCCTCCCTCGCCTTGGTCTCCCACTCTGGGCAGTTCAGTTAGGAGGCAGAGTTGTCCAGCAAAAGGGCATGTGTGCATTCTCTGGAGAAGCTAATGTAACAAGAAGTCAGGATGCCTGGCCAGAGAGCCCAGAGAGCTCTAGACAGGCCGCAGCTGAAAGGAAGTCTTCCTGGGGGAGGCCATACCGCCGTGGTTGAAAGAAGGGGGCACCTTTGAAGGGATCATCCTCAAGTGAGAAGATCCTGTCCTGAGTGAGGGTGTGAGGAGAGTCGGGAGCTAATGCTTCAGAAACGAGTTACAAGTGTAAAGCGAATAGATGTGGTAGGGCTGGCTCATGGAATGCCACCACCTTGGCAGAGCAGTGACCACCGATGGGCATGGAGCGTGCCCGCAGCATGCCCAGTGAACACTGGGAAACAGCCCGCTCACCAACACCTCCTCCCCACAGTGGCTGGGTGTCTGCGATTGTGACGGTGAGCACCAACACCGCCGTCGCTGTGCTCATGCTGCTGGTTGCCCTGCTCTTCACTGGCGTGGCTGTGCTGGGAATTGTGATGCTGAAGCGGGTGAGGGCCTGGGTGGAAGTGGGGGTGGGGATCCTAAGTCCCTAGGGGCGCAGAGTGGAACGCTGAGAAGGAGCTCGGGAGGGCAAGTAGAGGGCCGGGTTCTCAACTAATGGACTTCCTTGGGTGGGTGAATTTATGTGTTTGCAGGGAGTGCCATCCCAGAAGGAAAGGCAAGAGCAGCATGCTGGAGGTGGTGGTGTCACTTGGGGTGAGCTGGAGGGCCTCGCCTGTGTTGTGATGTCGCTGCCATCTTCTTGCAGATTCACTCCTTGTACCGCCGAACAGGAGCCAGCTTTCAGAAAGCCCAGCAAGAATTTGCTGCCGGTGTCTTCTCCAACCCCGCAGTTCGAACTGCTGCCGCCAATGCAGCCGCCGGGGCTGCGGAAAATGCCTTCAGGACCCCATGACCTGACCGCCACTGGAATGTCCTGACCCTGCCACCTGTGGGAACTAAGATAGTCCCTGTCCCTGAAGTCACAGGGATTAAGAGACATCACTACTTACTGACTTCTATAGGGCTCTTAATTCCACAGCCATGACTCTAAAGCTGACTCAGAGGTGTGGGAGCCCACTGTGACTAGGTCATTACTTGCCTTTATTCCCCCATCTGGCCACATTGCTGCCGCCTCTCACATACCCCAAACCCAGTTTCCCTCTGCTGTGCCAAGGATGTCTCTTCCGTTATTTAAATTAAAAAAGAAAAAAAGTATAACTGAAACTCCCCATTTCCTGGATCTTTACTGGATGTAAACTTTTTGAAAGAGTGTTGAGAGGGTGACGAGTGGAAGCATGTCTGCAGGAGAGGTTTCGCTTGACACACTGGGTGGGGTGGTAGGAGCCCTGAGACACGGGGAGCACCTGCCCAGTCTGCTATCCCCTCCCATTAATGACATTAATGATGGGCAGTCAGCCTCTTCTGCTGAGAACTCTGCATCGTGGGGACCTGAAGCGTTGGGTAGGGCCGGAAATGGGCTCAGAAATGATACTTAACCAGCCAGGCTTCAGGGTGAGGCTGGGGTTGGAGGAGGGCCTCTCCCTATCTCCTCCCCTACCCAGGATTACTTTCGGACTACAGCTCCCAGGATGCACTGCACCAGCCACCACACCCCTTCTCCGCACCACACACCATCCCCCATCCCTGGCCTCTAGAGCCTGACTTGCTGCGGCTGGAGGAGCTAAGGGAGCTGAGCGTGGTGGGGAGGGGAGCGGGCCCCGCGACCCTGGAGACAGTTTCCGTGGCCTCTCCCCACCAGGCGGCCCTGGATCACCAAAGGCAGCTCTAGTCCCTGCATGCGAATCTTTCTCCTCTTCTGTAGACTTCTTTGCATCCCTCTCGCCTTTGCCCTCCCCACCCTGCCCTGGGCTCCGGAACGCTACTCTCTTCAGTCTGGGATCAGCCCTTCTCGGCACCCCTCTTCGTTAAGGAAATGCAATGAGCCAGTGCCTTCGCATCCTCATCGCTGCCGCGGGCACGGTACCCGTCTGGTGGTGGGGAGGGAGCTCCCCACTGCCCCTTCGTGACACCCCTCCTTTGGGCCTCCCTCCAGCTGGCATCCCTGGGCGATGTCCCAGAGGACCTAGCCAGGAGGTGGGCTTTACAGTGAGGGTGCTGGAAAGGATAAAGAACGGGGCCTTGGGCGCCTCTGAGATGCTCCCAAGTACCGAGGGGGACCGAGCGAGGTATGGGCAACCGGGCAGCAGGCATGATGCTCTCGCCTAGTGACTCCAGCCGCTCGCTCACCAGCCGGCCCAGTACCCGGGGCCTTACCCACCTCCGCCTCCACCGACCCTGGCTGCAGGCCCTGCTCACGTTGGGGCTAGCCCAGGTGCTCTTGGGCATCCTGGTGGTAACCTTCAGCATGGTGGCCTCCTCTGTCACCACCACCGAGAGCATCAAGAGGTCCTGCCCGTCTTGGGCTGGGTTCTCGGTGAGTTGGGTAAAGAGTGCTCAGTGGTGGGGTGGGAGAAACTTCTCAGGCCCCACCCCTCCTCACCTGCAAGCCCACATGCTTGTCTTTTCCTTCCTCTCCCAGTCCTCTCCCTCCTCCAGGGCTGGGTGCATCCTGTGGCGAGGGGCTCACTAAGGTGCTTCCCCTGCCAGGCTGAGCCTGTGCCCACTCTGTCCCTAGCTGGCGTTCTCCGGGTTGGTTGGCATTGTGTCCTGGAAGCGTCCATTCACTCTAGTGGTAGGTGCCAAAGCCCAATACCCACTGGGAGGCAGGTGCCCAACACCAGAGGGGATATACCCTTTATGCCCTCAGGAAGGGACTTGGCTTTCCAGTTGGTGCCAGGCTGGCAGGAAGTGTCTGTTAGGAGAAGAGGGTGGCTCATTCCGTGGAAGAGGAGTGCGGGTGCCGGCCCCAGCCCTGAGGTGACACCCTCTCTCCCCCAGATCTCCTTTTTCTCCTTGCTCTCGGTGCTCTGTGTCATGCTCAGCATGGCTGGCTCTGTTCTCTCCTGTAAGAATGCCCAGCTGGCTCGGGACTTCCGAGAATGTTCCATGGTGAGATGTAAGGGGGCAGATGTGAAAAGAAGTGGTGAGGGGAGGTGTGAGGGACCCTGAGTTTGCTCTGACCGCGCTGCCTTGCCCTTTCCACTCCACACAGGAAGGCAAGGTCTGTGTGTGCTGCCCCCCTATCCCTCTCCACAGGCCCTGTCCAGAGTGGGGCCAGGAACTGAAAGTTGCCCTTAACTCCACCTGTGACGAAGCCCGAGGGGCCCTCAAGGTGAACACGCCCTCCCCAGCCCCTTCCTCCTACACTATCATCCGGTTCTCCCTCCCCATGGCCCCCCTCCTGGGGTTCCCAAAGGCTCACATATGTGGGGTCTGCCCCTCCCAGGCCGTGGACTCCTCTCCTTTATCCTTCCTTCTCCAGAACCTGCTCTTCAGTGTCTGTGGGCTTACCATTTGTGCTGCAATAATCTGTACCCTCTCCGCTATTGTCTGCTGTGTCCAGATCTTCTCCCTGGATCTGGTGCATATGGTGAGAGAGACAAGACCAAGCAGACAGGGCGGGTGGGGGCGCGGAGTCTGTGCTGCGGTTGGGCTCGCAAATAAAGCTACAGGCTGGGTTTTGAGCTTGGGGTTCTGGGTCACCTGAGGATATTTATTACAGGGATGTTGAGGGCCAAAGGGAGTAAGGAAGACTGGACGGGGTGAAATCAGGAGGGTCCTAGATGGGAGTAGGGATACAGGACGGGTAGTCCTGTGGTGACTGGAAACAGGTGATAAGTGCAGACAGATGTGAAACTAAAACAGGTTTATGAGCGAGTGGATAAGGCTAGAGGTACCGAGGAGGCACAGGTCGAAGAGGGAACTGGGTGTGGTTCAGAAGGGCTGGAACTGGATCTTCTTGGAGGAGGTGGGACCATAAAAATAGTGGAAAGGAAAGAAATTTGAAACCAGGCTTGCTCCCCAGCAGCTGGCCCCTGAACGCTCAGTCTCGGGCCCCCTGGGGCCCCTGGCTTGTACCTCATCGCCTCCAGCTCCTCTCCTCCACACCATGCTGGACTTGGAGGAGTTTGTCCCACCTGTGCCCCCCCCACCCTACTACCCTCCAGAGTACACCTGCAGCTCAGAGACTGATGCGCAAAGGTAAGGCGGGGCCAGGTCCTGCGGGGGGGCCTGGGAAGGGGCCTGGGGAGGGGCCAGGTCCTGCGGGGGCCTGGGGAGGGGCCACGTCCTGCGGGGGGGCCTGGGGAGGGGCCACGTCCTGCGGGGGGGCCTGGGGAGGGGCCAGGTCCTGCGGGGGGGGCCTGGGGAGGGGCCAGGTCCTGCGGGGGGGACTTGGGCTGGGCGGGGACTGGTGGGGAGGTGTAGCTGTGGAGGAGGGGGGGCTGCTTGCCAGGCCCTGACCTTCCCCCTCATCCTGCCAGCATCACATACAACGGCTCCATGGATAGCCCAGTGCCCCTGTACCCTACTGATTGCCCTCCCTCTTACGAGGCCGTCATGGGGCTACGAAGAGACAGCCAGGTGAGGAGAAGGCTTGGTGAGGCTGGGAGCAGCGGATAGAGCCTGGAAAGCTGCTTGATAAGGATACGACTGTTCTCATGCCCTCTGTAGCACACCCACTGCCATCTTTGATGTGCCCTAGAGCTGCTGAGGTGGGTGGGAGACAAGCTAGTATTTCTCTATTAAAGATGTGCTGCTGAGTGCGATGGGGCACTCCTGTAATCCCAGCACCGGGAAGGCGGAAGCAGCAAGCGCCACAAGATCAGGGGCAACCTGGTCTACATGGAGAGGTCTAGGCCAGCCAGGCTTCAGTGACCTGTCTCAAAAGATAAAGACACAGAAACTAACGCCTCATAAGTGACCTACACAAAGGCAACTGTAGTGTCATGTGCCTATAAGCACAGCACTTGGGAAGTAGAGGCAGCAGGATTAGGAATTCAAAGGCTCAAAGGTTAAAAGCACTGGGTGCTCTTCCAGAGGTCCTGAGTTCAACTCCCAGCAACCACATGTTGGCTCATAACCACCTCTAATGAGATCTGATGCCCTCTTCTGGCCTGTAGGAACACGTGCAGACAGCACTGTATACATAATAAATAAATAAACTTTAAAAAAAAAAGGAATTCAAAGGCTAGCCTAGGCTGCTCAGTAAACCCTGTCTCAGAAACAAAAGCAAAACCCAGATAACTCACACAGAGTGACAAAGCTGCCCTGGAATCTCTAGTCCCCAGAGCTCTTCCCAGTGCATAGGAATGGTCATGTCAGTGTGATCCGCCAGACTTCTGACCCTGTATCTTCTGCAGGCCACTCTGTTTGATCCTCAGCTTCACGATGGCTCCTGTGTCTGTGAGCGGGTGGCCTCCATCGTAGATGGTGAGCGCAGTGGGGCCTGAGGGCCAGGGCAGGGTGGGGCCGTGAGGAGGGAAAAACAAGGCTGAAGTCAGCCGGTGGTTTGGAGTTGAGGACTGTGGCTTCTTAGAACCCTGGCCTATCTGTCTCCTTGAAGACAAAGCTGGAGTCAGATTGGCGCATGAAGAGCAGCTGCCCTCCTGCAATCCTACCTAGCGCTCCCTTGCCACCCACAGTGTCCATGGACAGCGGGTCCCTGGTGTTGTCAGCCATTGGCGACCTCCCTGGGGGCTCCAGCCCATCAGAAGACTCTTGCCTGCTGGAACTCCAGGGCTCTGTGCGCTCTGTGGATTATGTGCTCTTCCGCTCCATCCAGCGAAGCCGAGCAGGCTACTGCCTTAGCCTGGACTGCGGCCTGCGGGGCCCCTTTGAAGACAGCCCCTTGCCACGGCGACCCCCGCGGGCTGCCCGCTCCTATTCCTGCTCAGCCCCTGAAGCCCCACCCCCACTGGGTGCCCCCACAGCCGCTCGCAGTTGCCACCGGTTGGAGGGCTGGCCTCCCTGGGTGGGGCCTTGCTTCCCCGAGCTGAGGCGGCGGGTCCCCAGAGGAGGCAGCCGCTCAGCTGCACCCCCTCCTGCCCGAGCCCCCACTCGACGCTTCAGCGATAGCTCAGGTTCCCTCACCCCACCCGGGCACCGGCCTCCTCGCCGGACACCCCCTCCACCGCTGCTGCTGCCGAGGTCTCACAGCGACCCAGGCATCACCACCTCCAGCGACACTGGTGAGCCACACCCTCATCTGGTGCAGGGACGGGTAACCACTAGCTTTGGGACTCTGCAAGATTCCTGACAGGGAAGAAGGTGAAGTTAGTTACTCCTGTCTGAGTGCTCACCTCTGAGGGACAGAGGCTTCATGGCTAACCAGAAGGACGTGGTTCTTGATGCCTGGGCTACATAACCACCCAGTTATACAAACAGATCAACCAGAAGTCTCTGCAAGTTACTGAGAAAAGATAGAAAGCAAGATAGCTCACAGCCACACAGGAAGTCCCCATCTGGGGACAGAGCTGGGAGGCTGCAGCAGTGAGATCCCTTCTTCCTACATTATACCATGTAGTTGTGGGCAGAGATGACCCCTTGAATGGGGATGGAGCTTGAGAACCAGGAAAACCCCATTGAGCTTGGGCTCTAGCAGGACGGCGGACAGTGGGGGGAGGTGTGTGTGTTCATATAGAACTCACACTGTCCTTTTTTCTTTCCCCAGCTGACTTCAGGGACCTTTATACCAAAGTGCTTGAGGAAGAAGCTGCCTCTATCTCCTCTGCAGACACAGGTCAGGCGGTGGTGGACAGCTAGAGGGTGTGGGGCCACTGTGTGGCGCGCGCGCGCGCGCGCACACACACACACACACACACACACACACACACACACACACACACACACACACACACCCTCTCTCTGCAGGGCTCTGCTCCGAAGCCTGCCTTTTCCGCCTAGCCCGCTGCCCTTCGCCCAAGTTGCTGCGTGCCCGCTCCGCTGAGAAACGCCGCCCAGTGCCCACCTTCCAGAAGGTTCCCCTGCCTTCAGGTCCTGCACCCGCCCACTCTCTAGGGGACCTGAAAGGAAGCTGGCCAGGCCGAGGCCTGGTCACTCGTTTCCTTCAGCTGTCCAGGAAGTCCCCAGATCCCACAGGGACTGCAGCCCATGGACATAAGCAGGTGAGCATTAGCGGTGCCAAGAAGCATCACTAGGAAAGCCTGGCGCTTTAGGTTGGCCCATGCCAATGCCCTCTCCTGTGTCCCCTTCCAGGTGCGCAGGAGCCCATGGGGACGACCAGGTCGGGAGAGCCTCCACCTTCGCAGCTGTGGTGATTTGAGTTCTGGCGCCTCTCTAAGGCGACTCCTGTCTAGCCGCAGGCTGGAGCATGGAGTACGCCCACACAGCCTCAGCCTCAATGGAGGCAGCCGAGAGACCGGGCTCTGATTGGGCTTGTACCAAAGAACAGATCCAGATGAATGCTGCTGCCACAAGCCTCGGCTGGTCGGGACCTGCAGCCCTGTGTACTGGCTGGCTCAAAAGAAACCCGCTGCATACCCTCACAAGGCGTTCCTTTCCTGCCTGCCTTTGGGGGCTCCTGCTGCTTGCCTCTGTCCCTCTGGATGGGAGAGCTTCTGACCTGTGCTGCTTGGGTGTTCAAGCTGTGGGAGGAGACGCCCCCTGCTTCCAGCATTGATGGAGGGAAATGAGTAAACTCCCCCCAGCATGAGAGTGCCTCTTTCTGATATTTAATGGCACTGTATGGGGACAAACGGCTGAGTCTTTGAGACCAGGTTGATTTGTGCCTTGCCCTGTGGTGAGGCAGGCAAGAAAAGACAGGAATTTAGGTGGCTCTTGAGCTCCGCCGCCTCTAGCTGCATGACCTCGGCCAAGTTACTTAACCTTAATTGCCTGGCCTGTGAAACATTGTGAACGTGAATGTTTGTAACACTGAGTAAGCCTTCAATAAATTTCAGTTCCTCCCTTCTCTTTTGGACTGTTCTGTTGGTGTGTAAGCAGAGTTGATTAAAGGCATTCCTAACAGTTTTTTGTTTGACTTAGGCAGGGTTTCTCTACATAGCCCTGGCTGTCCTGAAACTCACTATGCAAACCAGACTGACCTCACTGGGATCCGCTTGCCTCTGCCTCCCAAGTGCTGGCATGTGCCATCGTGCCTAGCTTTTTAACATAGATCTTTTGGGGGGGTGAGACAGGGTTTCTCTGTGGCTTTGGAGGCTGTCCTGTAGACCAGTTTAGCATAGATCTTAAGCACAGAAGTTAATACAGGGATTTTTAGAGGAGTGAGATAGGGGCTGGAGAGATTCCTCAGTGGTTAAGGGCACTGGCTGGTTTTGTAATAGACCAGGATTCAATTCCTAGCACCTGCAATTATCAGCTAATCACTGTCTGGGACTCCATTCTTAGGGGGGTTTTGCTTTTTGAGGGGGTGTTGGTTGTTTTGAGAAACCGGTCTCATGTCACCCAGAAGGATCTCAAAGTTACTGTGTGGCTAAAGACGACTTTGAATTTTTGTTTATTTTTTTGTAGAATGGTGTGTGTTTATGTGTGTGTGTGTGCACGCACCAATGGTATACAGGTATGTGCACCACAGCATGTACAGAGTCAGAGGACAGTTCTGTGAAGTCAGCTGCTTCCTTCCACTCTTCCATGGGTGGCTCTGGGAACCCTAGCCCAGGTCACCAGGTGTGCACAGCAAGTTGACTCACTGAGCCATCTTAACAGCACGGTGAACTTTGCATGTCTGTGTTCTGGTGTGAGACCGCACGAGCAATGGTTGGTACGTGCGCCAGAGCACGTGTGGGAAAGTTAGAGGGTAGTGTCAGGCCTGGCCGTGCACCTTGTTTGAGACAGGGTCCCTAGTTTTCTCACTGCGTCTTCAAGGCTAGCTAGGCCTCAGCTTCTGGGTGTTCTGATTCTACCACAGAAGTAACTGGGATTATTGTCTTTTGACTTTATGTGGGCTGGGGACAAGTGAGCCTGGGTCCTCATGCTGATGGCAAGCACTTTACCCACTATTTCCCTAACCCCAACCTTCACTATATGAAAATATTTATTTACTTAATGTTTTGCCTGCATATATGTCTGTGTACCAAGTGCATTCGTGGTGCCTGCAGAGGCCAAAAGAGGACTTTAGGTCCCCGAGGACTGGAATTACATGTGGTCTTAAGCTGCCACGTGGGGGCTGCAAACTGAACCCTGGTCCTCTGGAAGAGCACCCATGGTCCCTGACCTTGAACACCTGATTCTCCTACCTCCACATCTCAAGTGCCAGGATTACAGGCCAGAATTAACATGCCTTCACCAAGTTTTTATTCAGTTCTGCCTGTATTTTATTTTATTTTAAACTGCAATCAACCAGCATTTTTCTTTTGAGTTTTCCCCTTCTCGTCTTTGGAGATACCACAGTTTACTGTTTTTCTTCTTTACTTTGCTCTCTGGGTATCCTTTACCAGCTTCTACATCATTATGCGTTGCTCAACACTGAGGGCCCCAGGGCATTCTCCACAACTTTCTTAATTTTTTAATTAATTATTTTTTTAAAAGTCCAATCCCAGTTTCCCTTCCCTCCTTTCTTCCCACTCCTCCCACTCCCACCCCCCATCTGCTCCACAGAGAGGGTAAGGCCTCCCCTAGGAAGTCTACTACGTCTGCCCCATCATCCCATTGAGGCAGGACCAAGGCACCTCTCCTCCCCACACCCCTGTGTCTAGACTGGGCAAGGTATCTCTCCATATAGAATGGGCTCCACTAAGTCAGTTTGGGCATTGGAGTTAGGTCTTGGACCCACTGCCAGGGACCTCATATATTGTCCCAGCCACACCATTGTCTCCTATATTAAAGGAGTCTAGTTTGGTTTTATGCAGGTTCCCCATTTGTCAGACCTGAGTCAGTGATGGCTCACTAGCTCGGGTCAGCTGATTCTGTGGGTTTCTCCATCATGGTCTTGACTCCTTTGTTCATATTTTTGCTCATCCCTCACTTCAATTGTACTCCAGGAGCTTGGCCCATTGGTTAGTTATGGATTTTTACATCTGCTTCCATCTGTTTCTGGAAGAGAGTTCTAGCTTCTCTGGGGTTGTGGATTTTGCTTTTGCTTTATGTCTGGTATCCACTTTTGAGTACATATTACATTTGTCTTTCTAGGTTACCTCACTCAGGATGGTTTTTTTCTAGTTCTGTCCATTTGCCTGCAAATTTTCGGGTGTCATTGTTTCTTACCTGAGTAGTACTCCATTGTGTAAATGTACCACATTTTTGTTATCCATTCTTTGGTTGAGGGGCATCTAGGTTGTTTCCAAGATCTGGCTGCTACAAATAATGTTGTATGAATGTCGTTGAGCAAATGTCCTTGTGGTGTGAATGTGCCTCTTAAGGGTATATGCCCAGAAGTGGTATTACAGGATCTTTTTTTTTTTCTTTTGGTTTTTCGAGACAGGATTTCTCTGTGGCTTTGGAGGCTGTCCTGGAACTCGCTTTGTAGACCAGGATGGCCTCGAACTCACAGAGATCCGCCTGCCTCCGCCTCCCGAGTGCTGGGATTAAAGGCACACGCCACCAACGCCTGGCAATTCCTAACTTTATTTTATGATAAGTCGCCTTACTGATTTCCACAGCAGCTGTACAAGTTTGCACTCCCACCAGCAGTGGAGGAGTGTTCCCCTTTCTCCACATCCTCTCCATCATAAACTGTCATCAATGTTTTTGATCTTAGCCATTCTGGTCAGTTAAGATGGTATCTCAGATTTGTTTTCATTTGCATTTCCCTGATGACTAAAGATGTTGGGCATGTCCTTAAGTGTCTTTCTGCCATATGAGATTGTTCTGTTGAAACTTCTTTATTTTTAAAACTGTGCATATATATATCATATATATTTGTTTTGTTTGCTTTGGGTGTTTTTTTTTTTTTTTGGTTTTTTGTTTTGTTTTGTTTTGTTTTTTGGTTTTTCCAGAAAGGGTTTCTCTATGGATTTGGAGGCTGTTCTGGAACTAGCTCATGTAGACCAGGCTGGTCTTGAACTCACAGAGATCCTCCTTCCTCTGCTTCCTGAGTGCTGGGATTAAAGGCATGTGCCACCAACACCCAGCTTTGTCTTTGTTTTTTGAGACAGGTTTTCTCTATGTTGCCCTGGCTGTCCTGGAACTCACCTTGCTGAACTCACAGTCATCTACCTGCCTCCACCTCCAGAGTGCTGGGATCAAAGGTGTGCACCACCACCGCCAGACTGAGTAATAGCATTTTACCTTCCATGTGTAGTAAGTACCACTCATGCCTGGTGCGCACGGAGGCCAGAAGAGGGCAATCCCCCAGAACTAGAGTTTCTAATGAGTATAAGCTGCCAAGTGAGTGCTAGGAACCTAACAAGTGCAGCATCTCTCCAGTACCAAAAAGCATGTGCGCGTGCGTGCGTGCGTGCGTGCGTGCGTGCGTGCGTGTGTGTGTGTGTGTGTGTGTGTGTGTGTGTGTGTGTGTAGGGAAACATTCTTGTTTACATGTGGAGGTCAGAAGACAATTTGCGGGAGTTTGTTGTCATTTTCCACCATGTGGGTCCAGGATAGTCAGGGCTGAGAAACCCTCTCTGGAAAACAAAGAAAAAGAATCCTTCCTTCCTTCCTTCCTTTCTTTTTTAGGACTAATTTTCACTATGTAGCCCTACTTGCTATGATCTTTAACTCATAGACACCCTGCCTGCCTCTGCTTCTCAATTAAAGGCATATGTCACCAAGACAACTGCGTTTATATGTATAATTTTAAAAATAAATGGGTACTCTGCCTGCATGTACGTCTGCCTAGTGCACTTAGAGGCCAGAAGAGGGCATCAGACCCTTTGGGACTGGAGCTATGGAGCCTCGAGAACTACCATGTGGTTGCTGAGAACAGAACCTAAGTCTTCTACAAGAGCAGCAAGTGCTCCTAACCATGGGGCCATTTCTCTAGCCCCCTCTGTTTTCTTTCTTTTTCATTACATTGTGGTGATATATTATTTATCATCTAATAAAGATTGCCTGAAGTATCAGAATGCAAAGTCAGCCGCACTAGTTAATTAAAGAAGTTAGGAGGTGGTAGTACGCATGTTTAATCTCAGGAAACAGGCAGGCAGATCTCTGTTAGTTCAAGGCCACACTGAGCTACAGGACATTGATCCAGTCCTAAAGAGAAACAGCTCACACAAAGATGATCTCAGCTCTTAGGATGCCTCACCTTTAATCTCAGCACTAGGGAGGTGGAGACAGGAGTAATATGGCTGGGCGGAGAGAAGAGAGAGGAATATAAGGTAGGAGGAGACAGGAGCTCAGGGCATTTGCTTCTGAGAAGTGCAGTCTGGGGCTTGGTGGAGAGCAGTGCAGTCTGGATTGCACTCTGAGGATTCATGGAGACAAGATCACCCATTGTGGTCTGAGATAGAGGCAAGAGCTAGTGGCTTGCTGCTCTGCTTCTCTGATCTTCAGCTTGAACCCCAATATCTGTCTCTGGGTTTTCGTGTTAACATTTTATTGTCATCCCTCCTTGCGTGCGTGTGTTTACCACAGGACGTGTATATGTGGAGGTCAGAGGATACTTTACAGTTGCCTGTTTTCTCCTTCTCTAACTAAAGGTCAGTAGGCTTGGAAATCTTGAGTCATGCACCTTTAATCCTGAGAGTTTGAAGCCAGCCTGGTCTATAGAGCGAAATCTAGGACATCCAGGGCTACACAAAGAAATGGGAGGCCTGCCCCTTTCTGAACAGAGTTGGAGGAGGAGTGGAAGAAGAGGGGGGTAAATTGGAAGGGGATCTGGAGGAGTGGAGGGAGTGGAAACTGTGGTCTGTATGTAAATAAATGGGAAAATGCTATTTAAATAAAATTAAATTAAAAAACCCTCCTTGAAAAAAAACTAACTAAATAAATAATTCTGGAGCTGGAGAATTGGCTCAGTAGTTAAGAACACTAGCTGCTCTTCCAGAGGACCTAGTTTCAATTCCAGCTCTC